CCCCCCCCCCCTGTCTTTTTTTCACGTCACTTTCTTCATTTTTCTTCATGCTTTCTTTCCGCCGTCATTCCATTTCAGACCCTTAGATCCACAGCATAAGAAAACAAAGAAAAAGAAATCCCCTGAATCCAACATATCGGCCCGCAATTTTTAAGGGTCACACGCCCTGGAACCAAACAAGTCTTATTTTGACATATGTCGTGTTTTTTATGATTCATTATTTTCTTTCCCCTTCTTCCCGCGGATAATCTTTTGATGAGAATTGGCAAACACTGTCCCCTAACATCAGCCTCAAATAGGGGGGCTGGCTGGCTAAAATCAGCCGGCCGTGTGCGTTAGATTCAGCATGGCTGTAAAGTAGGGATGGATTGATGTAAAGAGGGAGATGTGAGTTTTGGTGATGGGTCGATGAATGGCCGACCCCCTGGGCTCTGTGATTGTTGTTGACATCACAGATTATGCCACCTCCCACCACTCCCACTAGAAACAGTTAAGCCGAGCAGATGTCTGGCTGTATCATCTGGCATCATCTTCCGAAAATCATAGCGTTGGCTCTAGAGCTATGGAGGGGGAAACAAGAACCCAATAATAGATAGTCTGAACGAACTTCCTGTGTCATGCTTGCTTGCTTGACCCTACAGACGAGAGTAGCGAGCGTGCTTGCTTATTCCAAATCCAGAATTTGCGATTGTTAACCGTGCCATTGCAATTATTACCTGTACTCGAATATCCAATGCCAACGCACGGATTGACTGCCTGCCTTACCCATAGCGCTACCGCGTGTGCGGTAGCTATCATCTCTTTCTCTCTCCCCCTTCTGTAACCTCAGCCAGGACAGGTACTAGTACTAGTACTGCTCTCGTCTTCGACGCCAATGAAGGACAGACAGGAAGTGGAGGGATATGCTACTCTGGTTGGCGTTCTCGGGCGATGTGTCGGACAGGTGCGACGAGGGTTTGTGGTTCCGGAGGAAGGAGGGGGGGGAAAGGAGGAGAGAAGTTCAATTCCTTTTTGGTGGTTCGTTACTTTGGTGCTTTTGTTCCAGGGTTTGGCAATGTATCTCCTACTGCTTTTTGTTATCTATCTTGACGGGGGAGTGGATAATGTAGGGGTTGCGTGGGAGATATAGGAGCTTGGTTTTGGAGAATGGGGTTGGAGAGAAAGATTTACTGGGTATGAGGACTTGATTTGCGAGGGAGGTAATATGGGACTTTGATTTGGAGGGTGGGTTCGAGGGAAAGATTTAATGGGTATAAGGACTTGATGCTGGTGGTTTGCGTAGCTGGTATGGTGTGTCTTGGAATGATATTTGTTCGCTGGAACGGGGCTGGTCCCCATTGCTAATGTATGGTGGTTTTCTTATGGTACATTGAAGGCGTTGGTCGGTATTACAAAGAGTAAGTAATGTAGTTCGCGGAGGTAAAAAGAAACAGCCGCGAAGAAAGAAAAAAAAAAAAAAAAGGAAAAGAGTCATCAATCCGTCAGGTTAGACACACGAGAACTCTGCTATGCCCATAGTGTCCTCAAGAAAGTGAAAGGGACAGGGAAAGAGCAGAGGTCGTCTAGATTGCCTTCTCGGACCGACGTTCCCAGTGCACCATGGCTGGCTTCAGCGGGCCTGAGAACAGAGTCGAGTAGTCGGTTCCTGGAACTCCCTTCTTGCCCTCCAGGTTGTAGACCCGCATATGGCGCACAAAGGTCGCAACGATGGTGGTCAGGTTGAGGTAGGCAAACTTCTCGCCGATGCAGCGGTGACGGCCAGCTCCGAAGGGGAGGTAGGGACTGGCGGTGCCCTTGGAGACGGTGCCGTAGCCGTAGTCAACCATCTCGCCGCCGTCTTCCTCTTTCTCAACCTGGTCGTCCCAGCGGCGCGGATCCCACTTGCTCGCATTGGGGAAGAACTCGTCGCTCTGAGCAGTGACACCGGGCGAGGCCATCAGCACATGGCCGGTGGGCACGACCATGTTGGTACCGGGCACCGGCATGTCGCTCTTAACCTTGCGCATGATGGAATGGATGGACGAGTGGAGACGGAGAGTTTCCTTGATGACACTCTTGTGCAAGGGCAGCTTGTCGATGTCCTCGTATTGCAGCGGGGCGAAGGTTCCGTCCGCTTCGCGACGGAGGTTGGAGACTTGTTCCTGGTAGAGCTCATCGAGGTATTGAGGTTCGGAGGCCAAGCGAAGCAGGATCCAGGCGCTGATGGAGGCACTCGAGTGCTGGCCCGCCAGGAGCAAGGTGATCATGATATGCGCGATCTCATGGTCCGGCACCGGCTGTCCGTTCTTGTACGTGCAGTGCATCAAGTTCCACATCATGTCGGATTTCTCCTCATCAGGGTTCTTGCGGCGTTGGTCCAGAATCTCCGTGTAGATCTCGCGCATGCGAGCATGCGCCACGTCCCGCTGGCGGTTGTGCGGCAACGGCGCCCAGGGCAGCATGAAGTTGATTGGACTAAAGCCTTTTTCGAGGTCGTGGTAGAGGTCGGCGAATTCGGAGGTCAGTTTGCTGCGGACTTCCTCCCCTTGCAGGGCGCGCGCTGCGGTGTAGATCGTGAGCTCGGACATGGCGGCGGGGACGTCGAACACCCCGGAGCTTCCCTGGAACCAAGGCGAGGTGCGCAGGAAGTCCAGCGTCTCCTGCTCAATCAATTGCACGTGCGATTCGAGCGCGGTTTGCGTGAGACCATACTTGACGAATTTCTTCTGTTCCATGAGCTTGGAGTTGGGGCAGTCGTACACCACATCGCGCCCGAACACCGGGGTGGTCAGTGGGGAATACACCTCCTCAGCGTTCGCGTCCTTGAGTTTCGCATTGAGGATGAATTCGTTGCCTTGAATACCGAGATACACCGTGGTCTTTTGTCCCAGCAGCACGAACGTGAAGATATCGCCGTACTGTTTACATCGCCGTGGGTCAGCTCGTACAAGTACGGTAAATGGTCGCTGCGGAGGCACTGACCTTTTCTCGGTTGGAAAAGAAGAAGGCGTAGGGGTCCATGCCATAGGTGATGGTATTTCCCAAGAATGGAATCCAGTGGAAGACCACGGGGGGCTCATTCTTGTTCCGAAATAGCAATTGACGCAAGACGTTCAGCGCAACGATGATCACGAATCCTGCGGCCGCGTAGGCGCTGGCGACAGCGAAGGATGCCATGACGGCGGAGTGCTCAGAGTTGAGTGGATTCAAACACAGAGCAGAGATGGTTAGAAGAGGGAAGAATTCATCATCTGGACGAAGAAAAAAGAGTTGGAGGGAGAGATGGAGACAGGAGAGGAAAGAAAGGCCAGGTCTTTAGCGTCTCCAAATAATCCAGAACTCTCTGTGTTATCTTATTAGCCAGAACTGCCAGGCACCAGCAGAGCCCCTGATATTGATTGACCGACCATTCACTGGCCAGTCAGGGAACAAAGAGCCCGGCATGAGCATGGTCCCAGAGCCGAGTCAGACCACTTGGACTGTGAACAATAATAATCGAACCATGCTTGAACCGCAGGCAAGGAGCCAAAAGAGTGGCTTTGAGGGGGAGATTTGGAGACGGGGCCGACTCCACACTTGCCCGTTTGGGCCATTCTCGAAGCAAGTCAGTCGTATTGAATACGCCTTCTCGTCATTGGTCTACGGTAATGATTGGGTGCCTGGGGCCATCCACTAACTTTCTGGCCGTGTACGGTGCCTAAGGCGGCAACAAGCATAAACTTCTCATTGCAAAAGGGCAGGGTACTGCAAGACTAGCCTGTGCGGCAAAGACACTCCTCTCGAATTGTGGCAAGCAAGTGAGTCATCCATGATGGCTCGCTCTAACTACTGTGTACTGTATGACTCGGCGGAGATGATCAGAATGAGTAATCATGATGATGACGCTGAGCCCGTCCCATTCGGGACTAGCTTCTGCGGCGGAGCTTGATCGCCGCCGCCTTGTCCATATATCAGTGGAATGTGGATGTACATACAAACTAACTTAATTTACCAGCAAAACCACAATCTGTACACAGTCCGTTATTGCACCTACGGCAACCCATCTACTTGCCATCTAAGACTAAGATTATCCCGGGCATATATCAACATCTGTCAAAATCGAAGAACAACCATGAGCACCGCGCAGTCCGGGAGCTCTGGCACTGCCACCTCTGGCTCACCCCACCGACCCATCTCAAAAGCAGAAGCATCGAATCCCAGAGAATTCCAGCTCAATCAGTTACGGCGTCGCTTTCACCCACAGGAAAGCAGTGATGACACGGGCACCACGGCAACATTCGGGCTCACCCCCTCTGATCCGGACTTCCCTTTCGAAATGGACAAGCTGCATTGCATTCTACACGTCCCTCTAACTTACCCCACTCAAGGGCGTCCCACGATCAAGGTCACCAATCCCGAAATGGGAAGCGCATTCCAAGAGAATGTTGCTCGAGGCTTCGACGACATTGTCGACAGCGCCATCAGAGGCGGCAGCCGTGGGACGCTGCTCAGCTACATGAACACTCTAGATCGACATCTGGAGCGCTTGCTGACGACCTTGGAACGGGGGCCTACGCTCAAGTTTGTGCCCAACACGACAGCAAGCAAGCCACAGTCAGCGGCGGCTCAGAAGCTGACAAGAGGAATGGAGTCGCTAGCTGTGTCTCCGTCAACCTCTCAGCCTCGGACTCAAGTGCTGTCGACCCCCAAACCTGCTCCGGTTCCGACTTACACCGCGGCAGAGAAGGCCCAGGCGGAGAAGCGACGCGCAGCTGAGACGAAACAATTGGAGGCCCGACTTGGTAGATTGTCCTCTTTCCAGAAGCTCAGTGACGGTCTCTCTTTTCTTATCCCTATTCAGCCGGTCAAAATTGATCGGCTACCTGTGCCCCTCCGATCTGTGAAGGCTGTCAAGTTGCAGGTGCCTCAATTGTACCCGCTTGAGCCAAGCGCCATCGAACTGAACAGTATTGAAGGTCCAGAGGCTCGATCTGTCGAAGCAGGCTTCAGCAAGTGGGTTGAAAACAACCTAAACCTAAACCTGATGTCGCAGGTCAATTATCTCACCAGCAATATGCTTAATTTCTCCAAGACGCCAGTGGAGAGCGCTCCCGCTCCAGCTGCGATACCCGAGATTCCAGATTCTAAGCCATCAGAGGAAGCTGCAACAGGCCCGCCGGTTCCAGAATCCGTGGCGACGGACAAACCCCATGTCCATGTTGTGCCCCGACCTCCGGAATGGAACGTGGGTGGCGACAGTAGTGCTTCTGAGGAGACGGAATTCACTGAGTCTGACGAGGACCCTACGGAAGACGATGAAGATGGAGGCGCTCCTGTTCCCGACCTTCCCGAGCCTACCAATGTTGAACGCGGCGTTGCTCTCTCCTTCCCATTTCTGGAACTTTACGGGATTGAGCTTCTAGAGCTCGTCGGTCTTTATATCACAGTTAAATGCGATCGATGCAAGGAGACGATGGATGTGAGAAATATTCCACAGATCAAAGACAAAAGTGACGAGCTATCTCTCAAAGTGGAGACATGCAAGAAGTGTGCGAACACGATGAGCATGGGTAAGACGATCCTCTCCAGCACGTAACGCTTTGGCTCAAAGGGTGCTCATTTGGGTCTGCAGGATTCCGCCGTCAGTTGATGCATCCCACCGCGACTCGAGCTGGCTATCTGGACTTGGATGGATGCACTGTAGTCGATCTCCTCCCTAGGTAAGCAGATGCTCTGCTTTGAACGGAGTCCTCCCTCCGTCATCGCCTCTATCATAGTAAAGGAAATGCACTAACAACCGCTGCAGTAGCTTTATACCCACGTGCGCGGAATGCTCGACGCCATTTCCGAGCCCTGGAATTGTGGCAGTTCGTGGCGAAAGCGCAATGGCCAACTGTCGTCAATGCCATCGCAAAATGGGTACGTGTATTTTTGCCAAGGTCATTTATTATTCATTATACTAACCTACACTAGTTCTCAAGGTCCCGGAGGTGAAGTTCCTCAAAGTCGGGTCTGCAGCATGTAAGCATTTCATGCCTCGCATTTAGGATAACCTTCTCACACGCCTTACACAGTCTCTTCTCGTGATCGCCCCCCTCCCCGCAAGAAAGTATGATTCAAAGCCCAGGTATATTCCCAATGAAAGCATACTAACATCAAATTAGCCCAAGGAAGTCCTCGGCATCGTCGCAGGCCAAGAACTCCCCCGTCGTGGCCGGTGCTCGCATTACGGGAAAAGCTATCGCTGGTTCAGGTACGCCATCGCCTAGTGCTCACCCAAAAAAACCGAAATAGTGCCCATGCTAACATTCTCCGCCCTACAGATTCAGCTGCTGCGCAAAGGTCTTTCCATGCGACAAGTATGACCACCCTCAAACCCACCCTGCCATCCCGTCCACATACTAATCAATCCACAGATGCCACGATGCGGCCACTGACCACCCCAATGAACATGCAAACCGCATGATCTGGTAAGCCAGCAGCCAAGGAAAATTGAAACCCTCACGACAAACGCTTCGAAACTAAATGTCATACAATAAACAGTGGCTTCTGTTCCCGTGAACAAATCTACCGCCCCGAGAACTGCGGGATCTGCCGCGCCGTCTTGATCGGTAAAGCCGGAAGTGGCTTCTGGGAAGGCGGCAAAGGAACCCGGAATAAGACCCTGATGAGTCGAAAAGGTCCGTCGCGCATTCTCTTTTGATTCCTCGGGTTTTACATGCCCCCTCTTGTGGAAATGCTCTGCTAACGCCGCACCAAATCCGACATCATATAGATCCACGCAAGTATAAGCGTCGTGGCGGCACGACGCCTGGCGGCTCGTCGAAGAAGACTTAGGGTGATTGGGCTTGAGGCTTTAGGTCAAGAATCCTCACCCTGCTAATAGCCGGAGAGTTAGCCGGAGAAGGAGCCCTGTGCAATGAGACACTTCGTTTTGGGGTGCTTGCTTGCGCTATTCCCCCCCTTCGTCTTAAACTGTTCTGGCTTGTCCGTGTGCTGGAAGCATTTGTTCTTTCTCGTCCCTTCTCCGCTTGGGAGGAGAAAGATGGAGTATTGCGGCATTGTGTCGGATGACTACCGCTTCGGTTTTTATGAGGGATTATGCCGGGCTGGCCAGCTGCTGGCAGGCTGGCAGGCTGACATCAGGCGTCTTGTGGGCTAGCTCAGGTCCGTTGTTGCCTCTGGGCAGCAAACTGCTCACAGGTCATGGTTGACGAGACCTGAGGGCGGGAAATTTTCCGGGGTACCTGTCAATATACAAGAGAAGTCGAGGTGTCGATGAAGGTGGCCATTACGAATGGTCGGTTGTGTAGAGTGTGGATACTACCTAACTAAATATTCCCAACCCCACGGAACCACAAGTGAGACTAAGAAATTATTCATTTACTCTCGCTGTACAGCATAGCTCCAGGCAGTTTCTGTCTTTCTCACATGCCAGCGTCTCGAACTGTACGTAGCCCGTAGGTAGTAAACAAACCCGAGAGACCCTATTCAAAGGATGGGCAGATGATTTTCGCAAAGCATCTTACATCCGGCTTTTCTATTCCTCACCGATACTGCTGTACGAGCTACAATATTAGCCAAAGCTTTATTCCAATAGCAGAGCAACAAGACCAGCTTTCTCTCTTCCAGCAACCAAAATCAATCCTCTTTGTATTGCTCAGAATGCTTCTAAAATGAAAGTCCTGGGCAACAACAAAGCTTGCTAAACACACACCCCTTCACCTCCGCCAACCCTCTCATACCCGTAAAATCGACAAAATCACCCAGGGGGAGCGTACACCCAACCCAGAAGCGCATACACAGACAGCAGAGTAGGACGAGCCATGACCGTGTTATATATGGTTGTAGCATTCACCGTCACCCTGGTAGCAGGACAAATCGTATTATCACACTAGTGCGTATTGTCGTGCCTGCGTATAGAACGCAGCAGTGCCTAGCAGATTGTCCGTATCTTGCGTCGTGACCGTCGCAGGCAGGGTATCTGTTGAACGTGTTTTGTTTCTCTGATTTCTTTCTTCTTCCCTCCTCCTGTTGTTCTTCATCTCTCTCCCCAACTGCAAATTCTCCATCCCGTTCGCTGACCTTGAACTGAGACTTCACAGGGCTGTGACAGTTGGCACACTCTTCTCGTTAATACGGAATAAGAGAGCCGTGCTCACGACGACTTTCCAGCAGTAAAGATCGTTCGGGTTCAAGTCCTGAGATCAAGACTCTCATAAAGAGATACCGGGTGATGGGCAGTGTGAGCGGTCACACAGGGTAAGGTCTATCATGTCGAACCGTGGTCAGTATATCTTTCATAACCGAGAGAATCTCTCGATAATAGGGGGCTTTCTGCATTGGCCCATATTCTTGTGGGATCCCTATCCTCTTTCAGCTTTGAAACTTGTGTTATATGCGTGTGATTATGTTGTTCAGACCGTTGGGTTCTCTTTTCATCTGAAACTGAGGCAGCAACAAGAGATATCTGTATGATAAACAATGGTTCTTAGTTGAGATGTTTGGCCGAGGGTGAATCTGATATTGCAGCTGCAGCCTTTATATCTTGAGTCGGAGGGAGCCGAATTAAGTGTCGGAGACGGATTATGCTGACATTTCTCGAATCAGAAAACAGATCCCATGCGCTCAGACGCAGACCATTGCCTGCCGTCCCGCAGATTCTCGAAGGCATCGAGCTGGAAGAGGTGGTTGACTGTCTGCCATCAGTTCACCAGGTCCTCAGAAACCGTGAGACAATCGATTCAGGTCTAGGCGTTGTCCAAAGATCGTCCACCAGACCAAAGCAATTGGTGAGAGCATGCCTTTATCACTTCAGTCAGCACCTTCTTTATGATAAGATGAATGACTTACAGTTTCCCTTGTATCAGACGGTGGATGAAGCCAGTGTGGAGGCATTCGCAATCAACCGTTCCCCACATGGACAGCCCGCTAAAACCACGAGACTTCTGCCACCTCCATACGGCTCTTACTATCCATCCAGAGCTGCTCCTGCGGTTACACCTTCCGCGCATCCTCTCCTCCAGCAGTCTCCGGCGTCCGCCGCGGAAGGATCATCGAACCTGACGGCCGCACCGGCTGCTCCGGTCATCGTGGTGACCGATCCCGTTGGTGATCAACGAGCCCTAAGCACCGAAGACGAGTTTCTCTTTCCAGTTCCTCTTCCGGGGGACGCATCCCCTCAACCAGGTATTCCTCTTCCCCATGTAGCCGAAGAACCCCGCGGACAAGCTTATGACATTTTAGAGGAGTTCCGGGAGAGGGACGACAATCCTCCGCCACCCCGCAAGTCCACAGTCCAGAGATCCCGCCTGTCCCCATTCTGGCAGCCTCGGCCCGTCCGCACTTACTCGTCGTTCGCCGGAGGGGGGTACCCGCCAGACAACGGGATGGGCTTCCCGAGTCTGTCCCTGTCCCTGTCCCTGTCCCCGTCCCCTCCCGGCATTGAGATCGTGACCGCGTTCCAAGACCAACCCGCGCGGACGGCGAAATGCGATGTGTGCGATGGCCGCAACACATCCGGCATGAGCCGCTGTACGGTGTGTAAGTGGCAGTGCTGTCACGATTGCACCATCCGCCATGGCCTCCGCCGAGCTCACATTTGCGGGAACGTAGTGCACGTTGCGCCGGTCACGCGGGAGGAATTACTGCGGAGCAGCACGGAAGCCAGGAGTCGATCGGCAGGCAGAACAAAGAGAAGGAAGCAGACGAAGAAGGCTGGTGGTGGTGGTGGTGGTGGTGCAAGGGCGAGTGCGCATGCGCATGCGAGGAACAACCGCGGGTTGGAGTTGCAGGAGTCCCCGGTCAGCAGCACTTCAGACGCCACCGAAGCAAGGTACCATGGGGAGACACGTATGCTCGAGAATCCTCATCCGCGCGCGAGTAGCCATAAGTCGTTCGTCGACGGGGACGTGATCGTACGAGATTTCGGAGCAGTGACGGAAGCCGAAGGTACGGCGGCCGAGGCAGCTCAAGACCAGCTGCAGCACATTCGCACATTTCCCAAACCCAAGCAGGCTCAGCAATTTGTCAGTGCAGTGCATCCGAGCTACAGCCACGAGTGTATTTGGGGTCCGCCGCCTGGCCTCGATCACGCCTTCACCCACAATGCAGCTCGTTTTCACATCCCAGCCGCTCCACCGGGAAGACCAGAGTACAGTGATCAAGACTTGAAGGATGCTGGCGAGCTTCTTACCTTCACAACCGCGGCGACAGCGATAGAAGATGTAAAGCGAGGTATGCCCCCCCCCCATGGAGATGGAGATTAGGATTATCACAGTCCGGTACCCGATGTCTAACAAGGTATCCATCTCCCAGCCGGAGGTATCCCAGATAAAGGTAGCATTATCAAAGACGCGAGCGCACTGGCCCAGTGGGAGATTGAGGAGTATAAGCAGAGCCGTGCTTCGGAAACCCTCGCAGGTATGAATCCGACGAACCAGCATCAGGGGCTCGCGAAGCACGATGCTGTGCAGGTCGAAGCGGTAGGTACTGTGGCAGCCCGCACTGCTGCACGTCCCATCTACTTCCCTGGTTCCAGTCGCTGAGTGTAAGTGATCCCATGCCCTCATTGGGATTCTCCGGCGTGGATGGTTTCTTATGATTCGCAAGCACACACTCGTCTTTCCCGTCAACGTCGCCTATCATTTTGAAACAGCGGTCGTCACCGAGCATGCTAGATCTAGTTTTCGATATAAGGGCTCTCGATTAGTTTTTTGTTGGCAAAAGTGTGGCTTTTGACCAGAGTAAAAATGGCTCGGGGATGGTACAGGAGCGGTGGGTGTGGGAGGAGATACTATCGAGTTTTTAGCTGTGTACATCAAGTTCTGAGTTTCATCCTGCATATCTAAGTTTCGCTACAGGATCTAGTGATAATGGGCAAGATAGCACTGAAAAATGCAATGTTATTGTACAATAAGAAAAACAACAAGAAGCTCCGAAAAGTAGAGAGGACGATGGGTTATAAATACAACACAAGAGAAATCGAGCAGCCACTTCAAGCGATACTGTGGCCGGGCCATACACATGCATTTCTTTCGTCAACGATTTCCGCAATCCCAATTCTCAGGGATATGACAGAGACATGATCTAGGCCTTCTTGGCAGCAGCACGAGCAGCCGCATACTGCTGTCTCAGTTGGAGTAGCTTAAATGTCCGAGTTGGGCGCCAGACACGGCTGCCCAGGACCAATACCCAAGTGAGCAAGAGGAGACTTCCCGCCTGGTGAGCGGAGGCCAAGGGCGTGGGGACGAGATAAAGCAGGGTCGAAATACCCAGACCGACCTGGCAGAAGGCGAAAGCGACCACGCCGTGAACGCCTCGGCGCGCCGAGCGGCCCATCACGCGATTAACCCTAGGGATCTTGCTGTAGGCCCACAAGGCCATAATGCTGGTAAAGGTAGTCATTGCCAGGATACGGTGGTCAAGCTGGACCAGGGAGGGGTTCTCCAGCATGTTGCGCCACCAGAGATCCGAGCGATCCTCACGCTGGGAATAACGTGCGTCCAAGAGTTCCTCCTTGGGAGGGGTAAGTCCATTGCCCATGTAAGGGAACTCATTGTAAATGAGACCGGCGTCGAGACCGGCGACAAGGGCACCAGACATGGCGGTAACGAAGACCAGGAGAGCCACACCGGCCACAGAGCGACGGAAAACCTTCAGGTGCTTGGAATGGAGTTTCTTGAGCTGCTTCAGGCCCTTGTTCACATCGGAGACGAGGCGCTGAGAGCGAAGGATAGCAAGACCGTTCCAGAGCATAGCAGTGTAGCAGACGAAGGCGGCGCCGAGATGCGCGGTGAGACGGTACTGGCTGACGCGAGGGTGACTGCCGGGGGCGAAAAGGTCCTCCTTAAGTCCAGACGCAACCATCCACCAACCCAAAAATCCTTGGAAACCAATCAAGCCTGCGATACCAGCAAGGCGCAGGGCCATGGGCTTGCTAACCTTCCTTCTCGCGACAAAGTATATAGCCGGGAGCACGAACGAGATGCCAACGAAGCGGCCCCAGAGACGGTGAATCCATTCCATGTAGTAAATTGACTTGAATTCGGAGAGCGTCATGTTCGGGTTCAGAAGCTGGAATTCGGGGGAGGCGCGGTACTTGGCGAATTCGGACTCCCAATCTTCGTCGTTCATGGGAGGGATGGATCCAGTAACAGGGCGCCATTCGGTAATACTCAAACTATACAACAAGTCAGTGTATGCCTCCGCGACCAATGATTCACAAGACACATACCCTGATTCTGTTAACCTGGTAAGGCCTCCGAAGACAACAATACCAAAGACACTAGCAGCACTGGCCAACAGCCAGTAGGCTACCACCTTGTGAGTGAGGATAGGAAAGAACCGTTTCGGTGCTTGCTCGGGTGCGGCGGCAGAGGCAGCAGACTGAGCCTGGGCGGGTTGGGCGGACTGCGAGGCACTGGCAGGCTTGGGAGATTTGGCAGACTTGGAGGCATAGTTTCTCAAGCTAGAGGCAAAAGCACCCTTGGCTTTGGCGCGCAGAGAAATGGTGTTGACTGCACTGCGAGCATTGTCCGGCGCAAAGAACTGCTTGCGCAAAGCGGACGTGGATGCATAATTCTGAGTCCTAATGAGGCATGGGCGGCAGGTGAAGAATTCCTTTGACAATCGGGGGGCAAGACTCCGCAGCAAAGGTGCGGAAGGCCCCAGGAACGCCATGGTGACGGGTGCCAGGAACAATTGGGACCTGATATGAATTGAGTCGGGGTGTTGATGAAAGTTGGCGGCCGATCAAAAGATCTTCGGAAGGCGGAGGCGGAGCGGCCGAAAGGCACCATCCAATCAGATAAGAAGGATTTGTCGCGAGTCAATCAGCCCATAGTTCGGTACTTGTTGGCAGTTACTGGTCTTTAAGATTAGCAATTGTTGTCTTATTGAAGTTTTGGTTAATGTTACTTATAGAGTGGTTAGTGTTGACTCTAGTATCAAATTGATCGTAGCAAAGTTCTGTAGACAAGGGTACTGTACCTATCCAGTGCAAACTTTCTGGCCTCAGGCACAAAGTCTTAGACCCTGTATAGTCCCCTTTCGACGGAGTACGTACATGGTCTTAATCTATATTTGTGTATTTCTATTTCCATATAGACTATCCACAATCCACAATCCACAAGTCAACAACCAACTCAGAGGAACCCTCTTCCATACCTAACCAAGTGCTATTAGAAAGCCATCTGCTGGCCCTTGACATTAACAAAACGACCACCAACAGACTCTCTTGTTGCGCCATCAATCTGAATAGATAGCACGTTAGCATCACCACGACAAAAAGAGGCAATCGACCACAAACCAGCTTCACTATTCCGTCCGCACATGCATCGACCTCACTAAACGCAGAGTCCAGTCCAATACTCTTGGCAGCGGCATTGCCCATGGCGGTTTTGACGAATCTGCACACAACCAAGTCAACAAACCACCAAAGCAACACAATGCCCCAGCATCACTATCACCACCCCCTCACATCTGGCAGGGATATCCCAACTCACCCCGGATGAATCATAAAGCTCACGAAACTCGGATTCTCCACATGAATCTTCCTCGTGATCCAATTCGCCGCCGCCTTACTGGCGCCATACCCCCCACCGGGAAAGTATTCCTCATCCAGTCCCGCAATGCTGCCCATGAAACTGCTGATCGTCACAAACTTTCGTTGGTGCTGCTGCTCCGTCTGGGGACTCTTGCCCAGGGGCTTAAAAACCGCCTGGAAGAGACGAAGTATGCCGACGGTGTTGACGTCCAGGTGGCGCTGGACTTTGGACAGCGGGACGTCTTCCAACCGGTAATCGTCATCGTAGTAGCCCGCATTGGCAATTACGACGTCAAGGTGGTGGATGTTCTCCCCCTCCTGAAGGTATCGGATGGCTTCGTGGGCGTCAGTGTCCGATTGAGCGTCGATCTTGACTAGGAGGAGGCGGGATCCTTCGCCGGCGGGGAGGGCGAGGAGCGTTTGCGCTGCATCGGCGGAGGGATCGCGCACGGCGGCGATGACGGTGCAATTGGGGCGCAAGACGAGGGTTCTGGCAAGGCCGTGGCCGATTCCTGTCATATTTCGGTCGCACATGGTCAGTATACAGAATAGTGTGTGCGTCAAGGTGCAGTACCCCAGCAACAGCTCTAAGCGGGGGCAAGGGAGTCGTGGCTCTGGCTTGTAAACATACCTCGACTTGCTCCTGTAATCAGATAAATGGTCGATGTCATGGTGATAATGGGCCTTGGTGATATAATTCTTGAGTGACTTGTATGACTCAATGTAGTAACAGTAGAATAGAAAATGTGGGCTCAGAGCACGTCTTATGGAAGCACAGGAATATGGCTTATATACTTCAAATCCTCAGCCGACTAGCGTTCTTGGGGTTAGGCTGTTTTTAGATAAGCCACGGATTCACACCCGCTAGAACTACACCAGGCCCCATAACGGTACGCCTGAATAAACCGTCTCAAGACTGTAAGCCCTCATTGCGAGTTCGTCGAATCTCTTTGGTAGGAAAGGCTTAGTCGCAAATGGTCCTGAAAGGAGACGCTCAAATTTGGACTACATGCAAGAAAACCATTGCTGAACTCATTGAAGCACTAGTTCTTTTGTTTTGTACAGTACATGCCATGACGCCAACCGTGAATCCCTAAGAACATTCTTTTCCTGGAGGGTCATTCATACTGAATCATGACTGATTAAAGGTCCCAAAAGAGAGGGGCACAGAAGAAAGCAAGCAGATCTTGGGAGAAGTGAAACTCGGATAAATGTGGGATCACATCTGAAGTTGATGTTCATGTCTAATCTTGATTTGGAGAAACTAGGTATGTGCAAGGTAGACGAATGCAAGGTCAAAGGAAGAAGCCTACTCCCAAACGTTGGAGAACAGATCATCAGACCCGCCAAACCCGCCAGCCGGTTTGGAGGAGTTGGACGTATTAGATGTGTTATTAGAGGTAACGGTACTCGAAGAAATCGGTGCCGCACTGGTCCAGCCACCGAAGTCCTCGTCAGCAGCGACGGTTGGGGTTGGCTTAGAAACCGCGGCCGGCGACGTCGGCGCTCCCCAGCCAGCACCAACATCATGGGCGGTCAGGGTGTCCGGAATCTTCATCATTGAAGATGCGGCAGATGGTGCGGGAGCAGGAGCAGGCGTACTCCAGGCATTGCCTCCCCACGGGTCAATGCTGGACGGCGGAAGCGCGCTAGCAACGGCGGCCGTTGGGGGCGAAAAGGCCGGTTTCGGTGCTGGCGCAGGCGCAGGGGCGGGAGTAAGGTTGAAAGCAGATTTCAATTCGTTTTGTGGGTTGGGAGCAGACACTGGAGGCAGGGGTGAAGCGGCCTTTGGTGAAGGGGAAGAGAAGCCGAGCAAGTCGTTTGAGAATGAGGACGACGGTGGATTGGGCTTAGACGGAGCAGCGGAAGCGAAGCCAGTGAATCCCGAATCAAAGCCAGTGGAAGAGAAAGACGCATTCCGGGACTGGGGCTTCGCTGGTGGCAAAGTAGGAGAAGTAAGGCTGTCGAATAAACTGCCGCCTCCTCCAGTACCGATGGAGAGGGTAGGTGAAGAGACCTTCGGAGCCGCTGGGGTAGACTTCATGCTGGCGAAGTTTGCAAGATTGGCGAATGGCGAAGGCTTCTCAGCCGGCTTGGCAGGCGGGGGAGAAGTGGTGGAGGGGATGCTCAGCCCGCTGAAAGCATCGGTCAAACCACCGAAGTTGGAGGATGATGCCGACTGGGGCGGCGGTGAAGCCAGATCTCCAAAAGAAGACGTGCGCCCATGCTGCATCGGGGCAGGCGTTGGCTTCGAATAAAGAGACAGGATGGATTGCTTCAGATCAGGGCGAGACATTCCGGTCGAGCCAGTAGGTGTGGATGCAGTGCTGGCCGGACGGCTGGTCGGCGCAGGCTGTGTACTGCCGAAAAAGTCGAGTCCCAGCAACGAATCTCCAGGACGGGCAGCAGGCTTAGCAGGGGGCGCAGACTGGGGCTGCCTAGGAGCCGCCCTAGTTGCAGGCTCCGTTGTACTGGGACGCGCGGGTGGAGAGATATCGTCACCGAAGAGGTCGACGGAAGCTTGAGGACGATGATGGACGGCAGGTTGACTGGCCGTCGCCACCCGCTGGGATGCGGAGCGCTCAAGTTTAGCCTTTTCCTGGACGACTGCGAGGGGCTGGTGGATACCGAAATCAGTTATCGATCTAATACGTGGGGTACTCTCCTAGTCCCTTACCACGTCGTCATCACCATCACTTAGGGTCGAGGGATCAGGCATTGGACCGTCCATGACCCATCTCTTCGACTCATACTTGGTTCTGATGAAGTTCTCGATTTTCCTGTTGTCGTGGTTATGGTCAGAGACTAAAATCTGCGAGCGATGGAGGGGTTCCGCTTACGCTTCCGAGGGGACGTGGCCGGGCGCCAACTTGGCTTCCCAGTATCTGTCAGTGACAATTAGCTATCTGTAAAGTCAATGCGATCCCAGAGAGAGCGGGAACACGAACTTGTTTGCCCTAGCATTGCCCCATTTCACAACACTCTGGAGTTGTTCATCCGTCCATGAATCCAGATCTACGGACTTGACCCGACTGATATGCGTGCCCATGCCCCGGTGAATTCCCGAGCAACGAATACAGATGAAAATACCCAGATTCCATGATGCCCACCGCGGGTCTGCAGTTAATATCTGTTAGCTTTGCCGAGCATTACCGAATCTCCTCGCATTAACTGCACAGTGCAGAGTGAAGAAAGAAGAAAAGGGCCGGTGACCCCAAAAGTTCCGGAAGGTGGTCACATACGCTTGTTGCGCTTGCAATCAGCACATGTCTTGTTTTGTTCGAGTTTCAGCAGGCTCTTGATAACCTGTTGGTTTTGAGCAGCCTGAGACGGCGTGGCGCGTCGAGACATCACAGCGGAGGTCGCGATATCAATCAAGAAGCCGGGGTAAAGTAACAGCACTCGATAAAGGAGTTGAAAGGGAAGTTGAATCGGGGACGTCAATCGGCACCAAGTGGCGGGATGCGGCGGGCGTCGGCCTCAGGCATGAAGGCGGTAAGACCCAACTTGTTCCTCTGCACGTGCCAGATTAGCTTGGGATATTTCCGATGTCACATGACACATGGATCTATAGGTACAGTGACTCTGCAATTATCCTACATGCTTCAACCGAACTTATAGCCTTTGCTGTACTTTGATACTGAGAGCAAAAAGAATTATCACATTCTCAAAAGCACATGATAGCATGCTTCTGGACCTCCAACGGCTGTTCCCCTAATTGGGAAGCGCATTGAGGTACAGTACAGTACATCATCCATTCCGATGAATATCTACGACAGTATAGCAGAATATTAATGAGAAACTTGAGACGAGCTAGAAAGGAATAAAAGCAGTATAAAAAAGCTATTTATTATGTTGACTTTGCACATTACATCAGAGTCCCTTCTGACAGGGGCTACTTTTGCAGTCAATAAAGTTTCAAGTTCCATGAGCCCCCATGCCAGAGCCCTAACTACCCCTCTAGACTGAAGGTTTTTAACCAGCGGGACAGTACAACACTGCCTCGCACAGACTCCGAGCAGTAAGCGATCACTCCAGACTACCATCGCCCACGCATCGCGCCAACGGATATGTCTCACCCAAGCAAGTCGTCACCACCCCCTTAACCCAGGACAGCGTCCCTCCCTCAAGGTTGAAGCTCGCGTCATTGAAGGAGTCCGCCTGGTAATACTCGAATTGCCCGCCCCCCGGCTGGCCCGTGAAGACGTAGCCTCTCTTCCGATGGGTCAAGGGGTTGCTCACAATTGCGCCCCACTTGTTAGCTGGGATGGTCATAGTGACGGTGCCAGTCACCGTGCTGGTTGTCGTCTCCTGGTAGCTGATGCTAGTGGACGCAGACAGGAAGTCCTTAACGAGAGTGAAGTCGGCGGACATGCCTGTGGTGATGCTATTGGCGATCGACTGGCCAGCCTGGATGGCCACAGTGGCGGCGGCCTGGTTGGCATGCACGATGGTCGACATGGCCACATCCCATCCGAGGAAGTCGAGGTCAGGGAGCGGGATGATGAGCTCCGTGTTGGAACCGCGCTTGGTATGGTTGGATGGGGATGTGTTGGATTTGAGCAGCCGTGGCAAGGTGCTATCGGTTGCCTCCGGAGAAAGGAAGGTGAAGCCTTGCAAGTGCGAGGCCAACTCAGCCTTCTTGACGGTGGTTGTGGTGCCATTGCTCAGGAATATGACCGCCTCGTCGGGGCCACAGACAGCTGGCTGGGAGGGAATGGCCGTCGCAAGGCATAGCGTTGCAGAGAAAAGTGGAAAGAGAGGAAGAACCTTCATGATGGATTGGAGCTATATGCGAAGGGAAAAGACCATGAAAGGGACAGGCAGTGCAATCTTGATTAAGGTACGTCTTTGAGCATTGGAGACTGGGAAGTACTTATATGCACACATTGTGCACACAGGTAGTATCTATCACGTTTATCAATTCTCATAGAAACCATATACACTGGGCCATACAGAATATTGTCCTTACCGACCATGAGAGTAACAGAGTTCCATTGGAGTGCCGCTTGGAACGATCAGCATGCGGTCAATCCTCCGAAATAGGCCCGAAGAAATCAGGGATCGACAGACGTCGGATGCGAGAGATAGATTGAGTGTACCATCAGACACTGCATGATGCTCGACTACACGAACCGCTCCCGGGCCCACTCGCGGAACCTTAATAGATGAGTTTGTTTCTCCGCCATTTCAACGGTCCCAGAAGTATCGGATGCAATTGTTCGTCCGATGTTGCAGCCAAGTGATCGTCGGTCTGGACTAAGGCTGAGACAGGAGACCCATGTTTATACATAGTTCTCAGCCCCAGATTAAGCGGCAGGAAGGTGAGACTTGATCTATCAGCGAGGGAGAACGAGTCTGAAGCTCCCCGTTAGTTGTCACAAGGACATTTTTCAAGGATATTGTGATCATCATCGTCGTCAGGGAGAAGGACCTTGGCAAATAATTTCGACATCGAGAAATATGCTCTAACGAGTGGTTGCAACTCAATCTGCGGAAGAACATCGGAACATTCGACCATGGCAAAGGATCGCTGGATGCGAACTGTGGTGATCTTCAGTTATTGCTAGGATGGCGGCAGAGGACAGAATAGCCATATATTCAAGGACGTCCTATTCTCCTATGCGGCAGTTGCAGAGCACTACACAGAAATCACCTAGTATCTATCGGCCCCTCTGCCTATCCTACCCCAAGCTATCTTCTTGCCAATCTGCACCTCCCCACGGAAAAATGAAGCAATTTATGACTCTGATCGTAGCTATCATGGCCACAAGGTAAGACCAGCCAATTCCCCTAAGCCTTCCCAAGATTACATCACTGATTGTCGACAAGAGCCGCGGCCGACCTCCACTACACGGGGCTTTGCTACGACTCTCCCGGCCAGGACGTGGTAAGTCGAGCAGCATCACCATCTCCTCCAACTAAAGGCTTCTGGACCTTCTGACCCGGGATGAACAACCCATAGAAAGTATTCAATAAAGCCGCCACAGAGAAGGCCTGCACATATTACAAGAATCGTAATACCGGCAGCAAGCAATGGGACCAGTGCCCGGACTGCACTCTCGAAAACGACCAAAGCCTGCTCTACTACTGCAAATCCGAGGGTCAGCACATCGGGGGTGATGAATTGTCCTATTACTGTGGTCTCGCCGGAGCAGCTGGTAGTCTAGCCTGGTAAAGGGTGGACCATTCGGATTTATTTGTTTGTACAGCACACAAGCCTGATTAAGTTGTACACATTTGCGATATATTGCCAGAACAGCATCATACAACTGCAGTAGTGTCAGAACATCCAAGAAAAAATATAGATCCTTGCCGAAGACATTTTTCAAACCCGCTACCCACAGGAAGAGCCAAGAGCTCCCACCAAAACTCCCCCAAACCCCCCTTCAACACCTTCACACGCCGCGGGAATACTCATTTCCCTTCGTTATCCTCCGCAAACCTCAAACTCACACTATTCACACAATGCCTCTCATCCGTGGGCGTCGGATACCCTTCCCCCTTGAACACATGGCCCAGATGCCCGCCGCAGTTACTACACACGATCTCCGTGCGCTGCATCCCAAACGAACTGTCGGTATGTCTCGTCACGGCCCCCGGCAAGGAATCAAAGTACGCGGGCCATCCGCACCCGGACTTGAACTTGTGGGTCGCCTTATACAGCGGCGCATCGCACCCCGCGCAGTGGTAGATCCCTTGCGCCGCGAAGTGCTGGTCGTATTCGCCCGTGCCGGGCCGTTCGGTGCCCTTCTCGCGGAGGATGCGGAATTGTTCTAAATGCAAAGAGGAAGTGGTTAGTGTTGTTTGGGGGGAGGGGGGGCAAGAGAAAAGTTTGGGTGAAGACACTGAGGGGGGAACAGGCAGGTAGTCGGATATTTACCTGGACTGAGCACGGCGCGCCATGCGTCGTCACTGCGCTGATCGGGGTAAGACATGCTGGCGCGGTTTTCGGATTTGCTGCTGGTTGTGAAAAAGGAGCTGAGGAAGGGGATTGCGGGGGCGGCTTGCAGGGTTCGGGAGCCAGAGGTAGGGAAGGGAAATAATCGGAAAGAGGAAGAAGAAGATGAAGGTGGATGGGAGCGGAGGGGTAGATTGAAGGTGCGGAGAAATGTGGCCAGGCGCTGGAATCGCATCAGGAAATGGTGGAATGATGCAATGGAGAAAGCGGGTCGATGGATGGCTTGTTCTTTTCTTTCTTCGTCGTTTTAACTCTTGACAAGAACAAGAACAAGAACAAATTTTCGGGGAAGGTTGAAAGAATAAGAAGAAGAAGTGAGTTCTAATCCATCTTATCGATCTTCTAAGCCGATGCTCGCCGCCGTCTCCAATTTGCCGCAGCTTTTACGTCATCCGCATTGTGGAGTAAATGAGAAACATGACATGCGACATGTTCATACGAGACGATCATAATACTCTTATATAATCGCATTTTTATTATATATGCAGTAGTCAGAACGTCGTATGTCCCATCTCAAGATTATATGACCCTCTAACCCAGATTCTAAGTCGAAACACCTGAAATTTCTCCCATAACGCCTTTCGTGCGGTAGATAGATCCAAGCGCCAATAGATGGAACGACCCCAGGGTATCTTCGCAAGAACCAAAACATTGCAGCCCAGACAAGAATCTATCAACGTTGTCTCATGACCCCAATGACCGTAAGAGAGCCCTCACCTACTTCCACCCTCCATCCGTCTCGAACCAGCATCTTGCCAACGGCCGGACCTAGGCGGGATGTTCCATCGTGGCTGTGACGGCCCTTTCCGGTGACGATATGGAAGCCCCCCTGAGTTCTCTCATAACTCGACCCTCCCATGAGCTTAGTATCACCCAACGATTCCCACCAAGCGGAAACTCGTTCGCGGCTGATACGAACGGCATCCTGCACAGACACCCCGTGGAGGTCAAGCCTGTTCGACGTAGACTGTTGGTCGACGAGAGCGTCCGCTGCAGCCGCAGCATTGCGCTTCGCCAATTCCAGGTGATCTCGGCCAACGGAGGAGTAGTACGCAGCAGCCCCTCCCATCAATCGATCAGACTTTCCACGCCTGTATGCCGTGGACGCCTTGGAAAATGCCTCCGCCCCCGCCGAAAAATGGACGTGTGCTGCACTCTTCACATTTTCCAAATTATGGGCGAAGCGCGGCCCGGAATCTCGTGGTTCAGCCACTTCATCCTCGTCATCCAGGTGGGGAAGGGTCGATGTGATCTTGATCAATTCAGACAAGGGGGCCCGTGATGTTTCAGGAACAGTCAGCATGACCTCAGCTAGCTCTTTGGCGGCAGAGGGCATTTGCCGTGTAATGATGAGTAGTCCCGCAGATGTGTCAGTTGTAATCGTAGGGAACTGCTGTGTTATTTCAGACACCTGGGCAGCCAGCAGTTCATCTTTCTCGACGGTATCTTTGCCACCAGGAGCATGTATCTTCGCAAGTGCCTGGATCGTGGTTGGTAGCGAAGCCCCGTTGGCATGGTATGCTGACCGTATCCTTTCTTTAGGGAGAACCGCCGATGTAAGCGAGTAGATGAAGTCGACATCCTTTTCCGCAGTTGCCCAAATATTGGAATTGGTGGAATTTGTCGACAGAGCTTCGCCGCAATTAGAGGCCCGAGTGTATTGGTCCCGTGCAAGGGCCTTCCCCTTCGGTTTGCGCCTGCGACCTTTTTTTCTGACTGCTTCGGCACCCTGAAACCCATCCACGCCCTTTGGAACTGCGACTGTGATGCCATCCTCATCAGGGATCTGCTCATCAAAGAAGACATAGTTCAGGAGCTCATCCATGGCGCGATCGACATCACCACCGGCCTTCTGTAGTGTGTGCTTTATGGTAAAGCGATCTGTAGACCGGAACATGTCCGACAGGTAGGCGATCTTGTCCTCATCGGTCGCGCCGTGAAGCGAGAGCGTTCCATCTGAGCGGACAATATACGAGACATGATTCTTTCGCCCAGTAGCGCTAGCATCGTCGAGATTGAAACCAGACACGCCAGAAGTCAAGCTGGTAAGATCGGTCTCGCGCGAGGGCATCGTATCGGTGTGCGATGGCGAGCGCTCGCACGCCCCATCCATGTCAAAGCCGTTGCTATCCGGACTCAATCCGCTGGTCCCAGAGGGATCAAAGGGCAGATCCTCCTGCTCCCAAGCGGACAATCTAAGTGCGTCTAGTGTCCCACGAAGTTGTTCCACTTGTGCTTCATCCGTTAGATCGAAATCCAATGCAATCGCCGTAAGTAGAGCTGGGTCTAACGGAGGACAGTATGTCTTTTCAAGCTCCTGAGCAAGCAATCAGTCATTAGCTATTTATTGTCGATCACCACAAACGCAGACAAACGCAGACGCGGGGTTAACGAGTGGATATGCATCTCCGCGATAAATTTACCTGTAGAGGGCTATTGCTTTGGTCTGCCATGCTTGCAGATGTTGAGACACAGACAGGTTCTTGTTATTTCCTTTCAATGCATTGGTCTAAGTGCACAAACCCGATCTGCTGGTAATCAGTTTGCGAATAGAAGCGACAGTGTGTTGAGGGGCACCGAAAGAAGGATGACTAAATCAAATGTTTGACATCATCTGGTCCTTCCGCCTTCGTTGCTATCCTGTGTTATCGTGGATCACGTGCTTATCAACCGAGGCTATCAAAAGACAACCAAAAAGGGAAATGCATAGATCACCGTCCGTCTATCCGACTACCATAAAAAAGCGCACGGCTAAGTAAAATGAACTGTTGCGAAGGCAAGCAGCACACACCGGCCTATCAGAGCTAGTCGGACATACTAGGAAAATTATAGAAGTGTGAATAGTAACTAAGAAGTTCGTAAAAGCAACAATAGGACGGCAGAAGTATTGTCAAACAGTATGTGCAATCTAAAAGCCTCCGAGTGGAGAAATATGGTATAGTCTAATTATCGTTATAGCGTGTGTTTATCAGCTCATTTATACTTGGCCATGAACTCGGAGTGGAACTTCACAATCCGCTGAGCCCAGTCCGTTCCAGGAGCCAAGAATGTCGTGCGGAAGTGCAGAGTGTTCTCCTTCTGTCCAAATCCGGAACCTGGAACCACGCAGATACCGGTGGCATCAAGGAGCTGCAGGCAGTAGAACTCATCTGCAGCCCGCTTTTCTTCAGCAGCAGCCTCGATGGCCTTAGGCGGGAGGTTGATAGTGGGAAAGAGGTACATAGCACCCTATAGATAAGTTAGAGGGGTTTCGTAATCTGTGGGTAGAGGGGCTGGCGCTTACCTGGGGTTCTTGACACTCGACGCCCTCCATCTTCTGGAAGGCTTCGTAGAGGGCCATAGCACGGCTTCTCAGTCCATCCTTGATACCATTGTATTCCTTCTGGTACAGCTCGTAGCTAGGCTCTCCCTCCGTGGGAGGATTCACCATCAACTCGACCAGGCACTGACCGATGACGGGCGGGCATAGCATAATGCTGACATACTTGTAGATCTGGGCTGCGACCTCAGGGTCGAAACCAACGAGCTCAAAGTATCCACCGCGATGACCGCACTCGCCAACCATGCCCTTGGAGACACTGTGCAAGGAGACCAGCTCCACGTTGTCGTACTTGCCGGGCACCTCCTGCTGCAGCTGACGGAGTCTCTTCTTGAAGGAAATGAACCCGCCAGTGAAAACATTGGTCTGGTATACCTCATCGGCAATGACCACTAGTCTCTCCTCAGCTGCAACGTCGAGCACGCTCTTAATGTCTTCGGCACTGAGAGAAGCGCCGGTAGGGTTCCCGGGGTTGATAACAACGATGGCACGAACGTCAGTGCCAGCGGCCTTGGCCTTTGACAAGTTCTCTTTAATCGCATTCACATCGGTACCCCAAGCCTTCTGCTCATCGAGGAGGTAAGGAACACACTGCGCATCCAGCAGAGACAGAGTCGCCGTGTACAGGGGGTATTGTGGGATTGGAACAAGGACTCCGGCGGAGGGGCCATCACAGATGATGTTGAGGATCGTGCTCACACCCGATGAAGCACCAGCGGTCAAGTAGAGGTCCTGGGGGTTAGCAGGAAATCCATCACGCTGCTCGATGAACTTGGCCACACTGTCCCGAATGACCGGTGCACCCTGGCTGTGACTGTAGGCACCAACACTCTGAACGTCCGCAAGCAGAACCTTAGCCCGGTCAATAACATCCTGTGGGTATCCAAAGTTGGTTCGAAGAAGTTCCGGGTTTTCCAGCAACACGGGGTTCTCAAGAAGACTCAGGACTTGACGGAAGAAGGTGATGGGCTTCTGGTCCAGCTGTTGCGGGTTACCGATGTTGGCGAAGATGACGCTCTCGAACGGCAATGACTTATCCCCCTGAGCCAACCTCACGCGGTATGCCTCTGCCTTGGTGGCAATCTCACCGCGAACGGCATATTTGGCAGCCTTAACGTGGGGGTTGATGTTGTCCAAGGTCAAACGACGGGAGGAGACGGCGGTCAGAGTGCGTCTGGTGGTATGGGCCAATGTCGTTTGAGTCTGCATGGTTGAGTCTGTAATGTAGGGTAGGAGGTGATTAGCAATGATGGGTTGAGAGTTGGGCAAGGTCGTAACAAAGTGGTTTATCCGCCAGGGATGATATTGTCATCCATTTGTATCCGGGGGGGGAGAGACAACCCCAGTACATGCACAACCGAGTCATAAATGTCACGGGATGCGCGAGACGTGGGCGACTGACAAGACCCGAACGATCGATCGGGGAGGGATGGGAGGGCGTGTGAGGGGTTAGGTACGGTATATCGCGCAGGGCAGTTAGTGGTCACCGCCGAACATGTCCAATAGTAGGGACCGCGGGCATAACCACTGAAGGCCCGAACGGAATGCCAATACAACAACCAATGACGGGCACATAGAAGACAAACTGGAGCAATCGACTCACCCGGGGAGACTCTGGGGATTCCCGCGGCTAGGCTTACCCGCGAGGAGAAAAGGCGCGAGGCCTGTTGATGGCACGACTGCCATGCAGCACTACTCGGCCGGGAAACTGAGCATCGCAGCGGAGTCGCCCGCAGGTGCGAGGCAAGTTTAAATTGCCAGCTCATGATCAGATCTCAATTTGCTCAACACAACACCGAAATCAGCCAATGGGACTGTGTAGGCACCTCTCCACCGACCGTTTGGGTGAACTCGTAAGGGGCCGAAGAGAAGAGTCAGGGCCTAGTCTAGGACTAGGTAGAAAAAGATGTAATAGCCTGCAGTGTGGTGACTGACGGTTGACTGAGAATCACAACAATAACTCGGGATTTAAGACCCCAAGCAAGAAAAAAAACGCGGGAAATCCCCCGGGGCGGTGAGAGTCTCGGAATCCATGATTAATGAGTCAGCTGCCTTATCTTAAGTTAGCTCTCTTGATCTCCACTCTCTGATAGGAATAATCAGATAGGAAATCCAAACACTGCGATGTGGTGATGGATGGTTGAAAGAACCAACCTACCGGTGGTCTTTGAAGGAAGAGGAGAAGTGCAAGAGGACAAATGCAGTACCCCAGGTACTAGACGTTAGTGTCACGCTTGTGACATCAGGGACACCCTGACTCCTTCTTGTTCCACCAGCCAACAGCGAATCCCTGGTCAAGAATTAATTGGCAACTCATCATCCCACACTTGCACCGGAGCTTCCCGACCGTCGGCAAATTTCCCGAGACAAGAAGAGGATAGGGCAGAAGGAGAAGCGACTTTCTTTCAGTCAATTGAACTGAAAGTATGCTCTCCTGTCGAGTGTTTATTTCTTCCTTCGAGAAGCAATCTCGTCAATGTGTCTCCGATCCACACCGAAGCCATTAGGACTGGTCCATTCTGGTCCTGTTCGAGCTGAAGGGCATGAATAGATAGCCAATTCTCCCAGTCTGCCGACGCAGTCATGGTGGATACTAGTACCACAATCCATCTTTCACAACCTACCATGTGGACCTTTCGAAGCCACATGGACTATTGATTGACTGTACAATCACGAGCAAAATTGTCAACAATGTCTCCGGCTCGATAACAGTTTGCCGATCAATGTTCGAGGTCATGTTCTCTCGTGTCATTAGAATTATGATACACCAGCCTCGCTTGCTTTGGCTCTAACATGGTTGGATGGTCAAGTTGGTAAAGGAGATGATATAGATAAATCACTGAAACCTCTCATCTACATAATCATGAACCACATGGCGATTGACAGAGCCATATCTACGACTTAGCTGCGTTCACTACCCCTCAACCGCACAGCCTGGCCGTATTTCTGCAGCTTCGTGATTAGGGCATCACCGTGCTTAACCACATCCGCGTACTGCTTGTTCTTGTCATCCGGTCTGTTCGTTTCAATGATACCATTGACCCGGTCAATGGTGCATGCAATGCGGTTGCTCGCGATGAATTTGGCAAGGTCCCTGCAATCGCTGGTTAGCGCTGCTTACCCGAGCACAATCTGTGGGATACTCACCGATCCAAGAAGTCTACCGTCACACCAAAGTCGCTCGCCATGCTGTTCAGCCCAACCACGCGATAGCTTTGAAGAAGCTGTTGGTATGCACGCAGTCTCATCTCCCTCACAAACCAGGCGCGGTGTTCGTACAAGTAACGATCCTGGGTAAGGAAGTTGTCTTCCACAGCCGCCAGAGATACGAAGAAGGACCGATAGTTGCCGGTGTAAAGACTGTCAACCAACTGAGCAAGAGGTGTGAAGTCGACAGGGGTTTCAGCCTCCGCTTGGACACCAGAGCCGCCACCCAAGGCAGTCAGGTTGACTGCGGTCGTGGCGGTACCGGGAGTGACCCGCGAAACTGTAGCATCCTTCATCTCTTCATCCTGAGCGCCGGGTCCGGCTGATGTCTCGCCGGTCAGGGCAGCCAACCGATCTTCACCAGATCCGAGGATAGCCTTGATCTCGGGTGCGTCCACAACCTTAGCCTTAAAGTCAACTCGTTTCAATGAATGTGAGCCAGCCAGGACTGAGTAAATGACCAAAGCAGAGTAACTGCAGAGTTCATAGCTGGTGAAAGTGGACAGACTGTCAAGTAAAAGAGGCGCAGCCTCGTTGTAGGAACGGATGGTGAGTAGGTGTAGACCCTTGTATGCCTTCAACCGATTCCGTCGATCCCAGTCACCACCGCTCTCAATGAGCGTGTTAGCTCTTTCGATGTTCTTCTTAACAGACAAGGCATCTCCGAAGAAGAGGCCGATCCGGATCATAGCGAGCATCAAATCAATCTTGGTACCGAGGAATGTCGTTTTCTCAAGGAGGGTTTCATGAGACTCGAAAGCTTTGTCCTACATGCTTTTGCATCAGCATCACAACATAAAGATGGTATTAGTGGCCCTGGAGATCGAGAAACAGACCTTATCTCCCACCCGTGCCCAGAACTCGGCACGTTTTCCCCGTGCGGCGAGCACCTCGGTCTCTCCGGCTGCTTCTTCTGCCTCGTCCTCCTCTTTCTGGAAGCCCTCCAGCTCTTTTCGGTTATCTTCGACCAACGACTGGTACAGGGATTCGTCCCATGGGAAGTCGATTTTCTGAGATGACTTCCGGGAGGCAAGCAGGTTCGACGTAATCGCGGACTTGGCTGGGTGCTGCGTAACTCCCTCGCCAGAGTGATTCAGGATACCTTCGACGGGATGAGCAAGATGGCGGTAGAATGGAGCCATCTTTCTCTCTGTGATGGCATCTTGAATTTTCTTCAGTGACGTCTGTCGCACCGTTTGGGGGCATGCTGGGTTGGAGATGTTGAAGACATGTTGGGCGAGGACGAGATCGGGGTACTTTATGTACTGCGGATCAGACCCCATGCTGGCGGTGAAAATATGAGCAAGGAATCGGAGATGATGTAGGGTAATATAAGGCTGGTGAGAGAGCTTAGATAGAAGAGGCTGAATGTTCGTTGTCCAAGGTACTTGTTGACAAGATGATGGACGAAGGCGGATACATCACCGATGGAGCGTAGCTGACCCGAGCTCAGCTGGAGAAAACATTCTTCCGGTGCCGACACCGCTCTCCACCCTCCCTCATTTCGGAGAAATCGAATGTCTGAGTGGATTACCTAACTACCATGTACAGTACTCGTACAGTACTTCGATTGATTCCAATAGATATGCCCTCATTTGATGCTTGGTCTGTTCATATTGGTGATCATTGACTGCTGAAGTCTTATGGGGATCAGAAAGCTATATCTGACTGACAATTTGCCTCGAATCACTTTTTCTCTCCCTTGCGAAGCAGATAAGAAAATAAAGCTCAACTCATCGTACAATAACAAGTTATATTTGTGAAGACTATGAAAGCCACCACAACATCAGCTAGTGGTCCGTAGCACTTAATCTGAATGGTCCATGTTTATTCGTGGCTCTTGCTTATTCTGGATTGCTATTTGTTTACCACTGCATCTCTATGACTCCCGAGACCCTAATTCCTGGTCATGGCAAGTAGTGTTCAGCATTGGGATCTGCGGCACACAATATATATAGATGATCCAGGGGCTTGGTGAAGATTGAATATTGTACACCCCTAATTTTCTTGATCCTTGATGCCACTCATTGAGTTCCAGTCTACATCTGGACAGATGCCTTATCTATTCAGACGACTCGGTAGTCTTAATACCAGCTCTTAAGGCACAGTATCAATACTGATGCTCTGCTGATCTACCAGTGCAGTTCATATAGGCTTATCAGTGCTTGTAGCTTATTACAGCCACCAACTTGTGGTTGGTCTTCTTGCCAATATACTTGCATAATCGCTGGCTTTCGCAGCTGAACTAACGCTAGTTGTGCCCGGGGCAGGTGAGCCGGTGAGGGAGGCCCTATAAGTACAATCACATGGGAATCAGGCTATAGAATCTAGCTAGTACTCAATGATGGACCACCGGAATCCTCGAAAATAACATGCGATTCGATAGGATTCGACAAGACACAGGTGGAGCGAGCGACTTTGACTTTCCATTTTGGATCAGTTGGGCGGCTGAAGACGGGGAAGTTGAAGGGAAGCTTGAAGTGAAACCCCACTCTTCCACCGCTTAACCCGCGGTAATCATGCGCTAAGGCCCGCTAAGGAGGAGGGGCCATTCGGAGTACATCCTGGCGATTTCGCTAAAGGTTTGAGTGACTTGGATGGATGGTGGCACTGGAATAGCATGGATCTGGTAGGAATCCGGATCTTGGTCTTGATGTACCCTCAGCACGAGCGTCTTTTGATTCTCCGCCTGTAAAAGGTTTTTTTTTTCTCTCTCCCCCTTGGTCTTTTTCTTCACACTTTCTTGTCTTCGCATCTCCTTGTTATCTTTTTTTTACACAGCTCGAAACTGTATCTATACTATAGTTGGAACCGGCCTTTCAAACTTGCACGTGCTCAATTACCCTTCTTGCATCGACCTGTCCTTCAACGGACAATTGCACAACGCCTAAAACTGCCCCTTGCTTAATTCAAACATCCTTTCTGTACGGGGCCGTTTTCCTGCAACAACACCAACAAAATGTCGGACGACAAAGAGAAAGGAACTGTAGAGTCGAAGACGAGTATCGAGGCAGATGTCCAGGCACCAGTCGATGCAGTTTCAGGCCATCGTGAGGTACCCTTGGATGCAGATCCGGAAGGCAAGAGTCGTTGGGAGCGCAGTTGGCCCACCATTGCCTGTGGTGCTGGGCTTTTTTCTGATGGATATCTGAATGGTGTATGTGGACTTATGACCCTGATGCATAAACCTTTGCATTTCACCGACTTGATGCTGTAATTGGCTTTGCTGACCACGTCTTCAGATAATCGGACCCGTTAATACCATACTCAAGAGACTTTATCCGACTGAATATGCCAACTCGCCCGCAAGCCAGAACGTTTCATCAATTACTTTTGCGGGAACAGTGGTTGGCATGCTGATATTTGGATATACAAGTGATCATTGGTCACGGAAATGGTCGTTGATGATCTCCACTATCATTCTGTTCATCTTCGCAGCTTTATGTGCTGGTGCATACGGCTATAACAATAGTCATTATGGCCTATTCGCCGCATTGACAGCCTACCGTTTCTTCTTAGGGATAGGAATCGGTGGGGAATATCCAGCAGGAAGTGTGGCCTGCGCTGAGAACACCGGTGAATTGAAGGAAGGTCATCGAAATCGATGGTTTGTCATGTTTACCAATTTTCAGATTGACTTTGCATATGTCATTTCTGCGTTGGTTTCCATGATATTGGTTTTGATTTTCACCGAAGATCACCTACGTGCAGTGTGGCGTGTTGGGTTGGGATTGGGTGTAATCCCCCCTCTTAGTCTGATGTACTTGCGATTGAAGCTTGAAGAGCCCGAAGAGTTCGACCGAGAGCGCATGCACACTTTCCCTCTATGGCTAATCGTGAAGTGAGTACCATTTTCATCATTTTCATCACGTTGTTCCATCTCCCCTCTCCAGCAGTTTTCCATCAATTACCGCAAACCACATGTTGACTAATTCCTGGGCAGGTTTTACTGGAAGCGCTTGGTTAGTGCCCTCTTTCTTCTTCTGAGGTAAAAGGTGGATGGCTAACCTCAGCAAGGCTGTGCTCTCCCTCATTTGGTTCCTGTATGACTTCTCTTCCTATTCCTTCAGCATTTACTCCTCAGACTGGCTAGCCATTATCCTCGGGGATAGTGCTCCCCTTTGGAAGAGCTTCGGTTGGACTACCTTGACCTACACGTTCTACATTCCAGGATCCTTTCTTGGTAGTCTATCCAGTGACTGGATTGGGCCCCGCAACACTTTGGCTATTGGCGTACTTTTCCAGGGCATAGTCGGGTTCATCATGTCCGGCTGCTATGAGTATCTTTCGACCCCAAAGAATGTGGCGGCGTTCGTCGTGGTATTCGGGTAAGGCAGTTAGACGGCTAGAAGTTCTGCACACCCACTGACATGGCCCCCTAGAATATTTTCCAGCCTTGGAGAATTCGGTCCCGGTGATAACATCGGCCTTTGCTGTGCAAAAAGCAGCGCAACCGCGGTCCGAGGTCAATTTTATGCCATCGCTGCTGCTTTCGGAAAGATCGGTGCTTTTGTGGGCACCTATGTGATTCCAATCATACAGAAAAACGCCCCGAACCCAGTCCGCAGTGGACAGGATCCGTTCTTTGTCTCGAGCTCCCTGTGCATCTTCAGCGCGGCTTTGGCCTACTTCCTTCTGCCACAGATTGGCCAGGTATGTGATTACTGTTGGGTCAATGCCATTTGATAATAGTGGGTTGAATTCTTGTGCTAACCTCTCTTTGCTTCCACTAGGACACAATCACCGAAGAGGATGCTAAGTTCCGTGCTTATCTTGAGTCCCATGGATATGACACGAGCCTGATGGGGACCCAGGAGAGGCCCGAGGAGCAGTAAGCTATATTTTTGACCCTGCACTGACCTTTCAACGCGTATGGTGGGCGCACTATCACCCAGCAAAAACCTTGCCCACTGAGCGCCATCCATTCATATGCCTGCACAATCTTTGCAGCCCATTTGACGCCCGTTGCGACATTTAATCTCGATGAGCCCGAGCGACAATGCAGCGAGCCGATCCACACCCCAAAATATTGGAGAGCGAACCCCAAGCGACAGATTGAGCGAACGATGCCCAGAAGCGCGAAATGGTAGATGTTATTTGCTGCGGTCACCGCAACGACATTGCTCAGACCGATAATTTATGTATTTATGGATAGAAACCTAATGACCATCATGTCTTCCATGTAGTACATAATTGACTGCTGACTGACTTTGGATAAACAATGGCAACCGGATGAGCTTTAATACTTCGCTAGGCCGTTTAAGCGAGGTCCAGCCCATAGCTGGGTGGTATAATTTTTGCTGTTATAACGAAAGTCTCCCCCAAAAGCTGTAGAGATTGCAGTCATGCCGTTATGGCTTCAGGGGGGAAAATGATGTGAACTGAAAAGCCGACGAAGAGTCTCGTGACCCGAGCACACATGACGGTAGTTTGGTTGTCAAATATTGGTCTACTACCGTTCGTTATCAGAAGCACCGAGCAACCGAGGTTTGTTGAGTAGGCGGGCAGAGCACAAGACGAACCCTTTTCTCCCGCCCGTCGATCCCCGGTCATTTACCGACCCCAGCATCCATCATCCATTCATCCCACCCTCCCCCATCGCTTCTTCCCCAGAACTTATTCTAGTCCTCTCCCCCCTTTCTCCGTCTACTCGTTGCTTCTCCGTGTGACGTGTAACATTGATCCTCATACCCTCCGTCTCTCATCCATCAGCTGGCCTGTCCTCTCTCACATACCGCTTATCTCTCCACGAGGACGGAATCCATCTCCCGCTATCGGCCGACATCCCCCTCTTAATCTCAACAACGCACAGAGATCCCCATCTTGAAAATGGTTGCTGACGCCCTGGTCTATCACCCTGCTGTGGCGCATTATTTGCGCTTTGTCGCGACAACTGGTATGTGAGATGCATCCATTGTACAGTGCTCAGACATGTTCCATCGTGTGAAGCTCGGAATTGGAGAGCCGCAAGTTTCCGACCTCGCTTTCACATCGTCTGTTGACTTGAGATTCTTGCTACCCTGGTCTCGCGCGTGTTCGTTCTTCTTTACCTGGTTCTAACGACTTCAATTCTGAATCGCAGTTGGTCGCGATAAGATCCTCCGCACCCTGCAATACTTCTCTCGTTTCTATGCCTGGTATTTGTATCGCACCAACCGCCCGCAGTCCGCTATCGATCCCTACAATGCAATCAAGAAGCAGTTCGGAACCACGCGTAAGATTCTCAGAATCGGAAAGTTTGTTGAACACTTGAAGGCTGCCGCGCTCGCCTCCGACAACAAGAACCCCATCGACCCAGTACTCCGTTACCTTGCGGTTGGTCGGCAGCTTGGTTATGCTGGGTACTTGTCTCTTGATACCATCACGGTTGTGGATGCGATTGGTGTCCGCAAACTTGCTTCCGTGAAACGCCTGCAGGACTCGGCCTATCGCTCGTGGATGGCAGGACTGGCGTGCAGCGCTGTTGCTAGTTTGTATACCCTCTTCCGGCTGAGGGAGAAGGCGAAGACCCTTGATCTTAAGGAAGGCGAGGGTGTCGTGGAGGCGAAGAAGCTTGAAAAGTATGTGATCCGTAACGAGACTGTCTGGTCGGGTTTTCAACCGAACGCTAACATCTCTGTCTAGGGAACGCTCCACGGCTCGTATTCAGCTGATCTCCGACCTGTGCGACTTGACTGTTCCTGTGTCTGCTCTTGGCCTTGCTGCACTTGATGATGGCCTCGTCGGTATTGCAGGAACTGTCAGCAGTTTGATTGGTGTCTGGTCGCAATGGCGAAAGACTGCTTAGACAACGGATGCTAAGTTTTTTCCATGCAAACGCTTCAAGTAAGCGTGGATTTGAGGTTAGCCGCTCAATCACCGGATCGACTTCCTTCGTCCAAGTTTACTTGTCACTGAAAATGCGTGCTGAGTAAAGGTGTGAAGCCATGGGAGATTGATGATTCATCGTCGAACATAGGAAAGCCTGGGTTTTATGCACTGGATGGATTTCCAGTTGAGATTCTGCCCTGCAATGCAGGTTTCTGTTATTACGATGTGTAGCCTAAGATTTATTCCCCTTTCTTGCGGTCAAATGAAGCTTTGAACCATGAAGCCACAAGAATCCTCCGATTTTGCAATTTTAACAAAATCGTGTACATGTTGTTATTTTCTGTCTACTGTGTATATATCATAAATACCTTGACTTGCTCCTGGCTCACTGAATATGGTGGAAATACTGCTGCGGTCCAGTTTTGCAGTCCGCAAGGTGCTCGCGGGGTTGCGGCTACTCGCAGCCGGTGACTCCTGACTTGGGTCTGACTTGGGTCTCGAAACCATCTTCTTTATCATCAACAATGTCAACCCGACACTGGCTGAAGTCACACGAGACACCCGGCAGGCGTTACTTCGGCTGGATTTTGGATGCTAGATGTGCAATCTGTCAGAAACTTGAGTGGCTTTTATCGGAATCTGCGCCAGGACACCTATGGGGTGTCTTATCCAGACATTCTACGTCTTTTGATACTAACGCAGATGAGAGTCAGTCAAGCCTCGTCAAAAAGCGATACTCAACGTGCAAATGAACTATTGAACAAGAAGAGTGATATATTGGACGCCAAAACGATATCTCCAAAGTATTTCCCGCTATCGCAAGGCCTCGGTGTCATCATCAAATTGTGCTAAGTTGATTATTTGTCAATAAGTAAGACATGGACCTGAGACGCAGACTGTCATTCTCGGTGCAGGCACACTTACGCAATGTGGTTTAGATTCTCCCTTGACTCCTTGTTTCGCCCTGTGATCCTTACTAGAACTGAGATGTGACACCGCCGATTCGGGCCACTTCTATGCACTCGAATTGCAAACCAAACAGTCAGATTCACAGAGGGTTACGCCACCGGCCGGCTTGGCATATACCTGTCCGATCGAGAAGATCTGACTATCTGCCATCATCCCTCTCCTGATTGTGCTAAATCGATAGCCCGTCATGAACAAGCAGTCCTTGGGATATCCCCATAACAACCCGAGAGTCTAATTTATGCCGGCATGTACGCTCACAGCTTGTTGCTAACGACTGGCATGACGAACTACGCACCTTATTAAGAAATACGCCGATTATGGCGAGCAAGCGCGACCAAGCTTTGCCGCAGCATTGCTTCCTGCAAGGGAGGCGTATGGCGACCCACAGCATTCGCGCCAATCTGAGTGTAAAAGATAACACGCAGTGCCCCTCGATTCTTTTACAGGGATATCAGAGGGCAGCAGGTCTAAGTGTGGTGCTGTGTAAGCTGTTTGCCCTAGCATCTTCCGCGTCGCTCATCAGATTCAAGTTGAATTGTGATGCCTCCTTATACAAATACCTCTTGATGCACATGCTATTTTCAGTTGCTTGAATATTGAGACCCGCTTACGCCAAGATTTCTGTAAGAAGCTCATTCTTTTCGTCAGACACTCTCTGTTGCTGGTCGAACTATAAAGGTGCTTCTCAAGGCACGGGCGCCATGCTGCATCCGATTCTTGACCTCAGCAATTTCAATATTGTCGTCTCTGTCATAGGTGAGAAGAGCCGAAACCAAGTAATCTACAAGCGCAACCACTTATTGTGACAAAGCGTTATATATTCTCATTTTCGGATATGTTTCGCTCAGAATCAAGCAGAGGTGGTATCTTGGGGAAGCCTGTATGAACCCAAAGTTCGCACTGATATATTCCGATACTGATCTTCAACTAGTGCCAGCCTTTTTGATTGGTATCTCGCTAGGGCCGATCGGCGCTAGGTTCCTGAACATATCTCAGTGGGGAGGGGGTGGTGATGATTACCGCAGTGACATCGCGTTTGTAAATGCCACTCAGATCAGCTACTAATAGATCGATACTGATAGTAGCAGAACCTGACACGCTTAGTGATAGGCATACAGTTGGTCAAAGCTGGATATCAATTGCCCAAGAAATACATAAGACAGCGTCTCTCCGAATTGGCCATATGTCTTCTTCCGCTTATGACTATAGCATGGTTTGCAACATCTGCATGTATCTTGCTTGCGATTCCCAGTATATCTTTTGTATGTTCACTGAAGCTTCAACAACTCAGGATTTGACATATCAAACTGTGCTGACCGTCTCGCGTGTAGTTGTCAGCTCTTATCATAAGCGCTTGCGTGACTTGCACGGATCCTGTTCTATCTCAAGCCATCGCAAAAGGTCCCTTTGCAGATAACTATGTTCGTCGGCCACTTCGGGAGTTCATTTCGGCTGAGGCAGGGGCAAATGATGGCTTCGGTTTTCCATTCCTGCTGCTTGCGCTCTCGTTGTTGCGTTACGCAGAAGCGCCTGAAAACACCGCTAGCCTGGAGGACTTCGATCTGGAGCGAGGCATCCCCGATTCACTCGGTGCGACTAGCGCAGGGCGCTTTGGCGGAGGAGTCGGCCCTGCGTTGAAACATTGGGCCGTGGAGGGAGTCTTGTACATGATTTTCCTGGGTGCCTCCTACGGTGCCTTCGTCGGCTTCACTTGCCAGAAGCTACTCAAGGGCGCATCTAAGCGAAGATGGATCGACAATGAAAGCTTTACCCTGGTCCCTGTGGCAATCGGTATGCTCATTGTTGGGACATGCGGCTGCTTTGGGTCCGATGAAACACTTGCCTGCTTCATAGCTGGGAGTGTGCTCAACTGGGACGGCCTTTACCAGGATGAGATGCAGGCCCGGCATGATTCATTCAATTCGACGATCGAGACTTTGCTGAACACTGCAGCTTTCATGTATCTTGGTGCGGTCATGCCATGGGACCAGTTCCATCGACCCCATGACACTGGCATCTCCATCTGGCGTTTATTTGGACTAGGTTTTTTGATCCTTATCTTTCGTCGTATTCCGGCCATAGTCACAGGATACAAGTTCATGCCCAAGGTCTGCAGTGATTGGAAAGAGGCGTTGTTTTTGGGCTATTTTGGACCGATCGGTAAGCAGCGCTCGCCCCATGATAACGTTCTTTGTCAGGCTCAAGTTACTTGGCAGGTATCGGTGCTATCGCATATGTGGAGTATGCTCGCCGCCTCTTTCCTTCCCCAGGCGAGAGTGACACTGAGATTAACAATTTGACGGCCGCTATGACACCTGGTAAGACTACAAATCATTATTCACTAAGAATGGTTCACATCTGACCTCACTCTGCGCAGTTGTCTACTGGTTGGTGCTATTCTCCATCGTTGTCCATGGCCTGTCGGTACCTGCGCTTGATGCGCTCTACAAGTTTTTCGGAGTGTGCAAGATCCGCGACCATCCGGTCGCGATTGCTCTGCTCTCGGACAACGAAGCCCTCCCAAATAATTGCTCAATTGATCCTCAGCGGCACTCGATGATTGTCAACAACCGCTTCTCGCGGCCGTCTGACAGCGATACTGAAGGGCAAAGCGGCCAAGTACGGAAAGAATCAGGAACGATGACGCGACTAAGTGAGGATAGCCCGCTCAATGGAAGCAATGAGCATTTGGATATCCCCTTATTCAGCCACCGAGCAGGAGGCTCAGTCACCGTTCGGGCCATTGTCTGATAAAATGCTTTATCCTACTTGATTGGACGGGGAAACAGATGGAGCGAGAGACGCGTATTCGTTCATTCATTCATGCATTCATCGTGCCATGCCAGCTCAACCCATACCGGTCCATATTATATCCCGACCATCAACCATTTGCCTCTGGCTCTGATGCTGACATTCTATCTGCGTGATCTCGAGGCGAATCCAAACGATCCCGCGATCCAGGAGGACGACTTCAGACGGGGCAGGTCTAGTGGCAGGCATAAGAGATGGAACAAGAAACTATACAAGCTAAATTCCATACCTTTCCGCAAGAGCCGCAGGTCTTCTTTTCACCAGCGATGGTAGCACCGCAAGAGGGGCAAGAGTTGTGGCCCATTTTTGCAAGATTCGTTCTGTTTTGGAGTCGGTGAGGGGCTGTGGTTGGATGTGTGAGTTGACCTGGTGGGTTTGGTTACACACAGGACGGAGACTTTGGGGCAGCGTACCTTAGGGATGAAGGGAGATCAATACTCGCGAAGATGTGAAATGCAAAGGGAAGCGACAGAGATGGTGAAAAGTGAGGATAACAAATAACAGGCTCAGCCTTGAGCTGTCATTTGTTTACCCCGCCGCGTGATCCAGGCTGATGTACCCGCTTTCCCGCCGTCGTGATTGGCTGTGGTGCTGATAAGATCGGACTCACTGTGATCCTCACCAACCTAACATCATGGATAACATCACAACCCTCCCCAGCGAGCTTCTCCATGTCATATGCGATTAGCTAATTCTATCAGACTGAGCAGCGCCCAGTGTGTCTTGTGGTGTACTTTATGGAAATCATTGATACCTTCTGTGGATCGCTCCAAGATTTTCCCTGTGCTTATCACTCGATCTGCAGATTGTACATGCAAGATATCGCCGCACACGGGAACACCCTCGAAAGTTGCAAGTTGCATAGGGCGCTCAAGTGTGATGAGGCGCTTTGACTGTATTACTGTGCAGGAGCTCTGTGCCTGGGCATGCGCAGAGTGAAATCTTGGTCCAGGGCCCCTCTCCAGCTCAGCCCAGGCTGCGTATATATATTTCTCATCGGAGGGACGGGTGTCTTCACGTTCGTCGTCTCGCTACACTTCTGATTTGTTCAGAGTCCGTTCTGCATCTCTCTTGGCAGATAACGCGCGGTACATGCATTGCCTCTGCTATCGTATGGGCTATAGTGCCTGTCTCCTTCAGACCAACGCTAGCCCAGCCAAAGGGGAGCTACAACGACGATATATCAAAATTCATATAATTGAAACGCAGACTTTCCAGCCGATCTCATTCCAATCGACTCGTGGAGCTTCACCTTTGAATTAGCCCCAGATCCGAGTCTTTTCGAGGTACCATGCATACATCGATATCAACGCTGCAGAGGCTTCGACTGGCTTTTCCAGGGTCAATAACCACTACAATCTCGTTGAACTCAGCCCCTATAGCAGAAGATGAGCTGGGCTAGCTCTGGTAGCAGATGTGAGAGTTTCTCGGTGCGGATATTACCTTTGACTACTTTTCCATATCTGAGGGAAGACTGTCAAGAAGAACAGGTGTTCCTCAAGAAGACAAGTCAGAGCCTACATTGCAGATCGTGGCCGATTACGCAGAGATAAGTGGGGAGATATCTCGTGACTGCATGCTGAAGCTGCGACCATGCACTCACATAGTCGGGTGGGTGCCTTGAGATTGTAAATCGGCCCTTGGCGCGAACTATGCCCCTCATGTGTTCGGCCTGCTTCGATCAAGAAGGCCCAGAACTCTCAGGTGGCTCGGCTGGCTATTGGAGCTGTTCGGAGCTGTTTGGTGATGCGCTGCTGGCTCGTAACGTGCTGGCCGTGATGGGCCGTCAAGCTGGTGGGAATGAGAAACATGCCGTTTGGAGACGAAAGGATTATGCTAGAGACATGATACGAGCCCACATTGCAGGAGAAATTCAAGACTTCATCGCGTGTCCATCCTCTGCAAGACTAAGTCTAATCGCTCTTGCTAGCCCCAATGAATCTTCAGGTCAGGCGATCACAACCGATGAGAAAGTTCTTCAGTCTAGACTCCCCCGGAATTGGAGCCAACCAAGACATGCCAAAAATATATCTTCTCTCTCCACAAAACTCGGCAAAGCTCCACTAAGCCTCCCGACTCCCAGAGTCTAGAGCGTCCCCGGGGAAGGACTGTGGTGAGTTGTGACTCAGCTACGTAAGTTCAGCTAGCGTGATTGAAATCTGTATCCTCTCTGTCTCAGGAGCTTCGTTGAAGATAGTTGATTATAGTTGACTACGGAGTTGTCCTACGTGTCTGAATCCACAAAGCAAGCGACAATAGTACAGTCGCAGTGTCGTCCAGGTACTGTACGGAGACACACCGCTCGGAACCGTTAGTTACCGAGAGGTTCACTCCGTACTGCATGCAGTCCCGGGCGCATTCTTCCCCTTTCCTAAAACTTCCGGCCGAGGGAGGGGAGGGGACTTTGTCCCCACATCCCGCTAACTGGGGGAAAGGGATTGCCTCGGGGAGGTCGGGGAAAGACGAGCACGTGGATGATGGTTGTTTTCGGGAATAGCCTCGTCTTGGCTTTTGAAGGGAGAAAAAAAAAAAAAAGAAAAAAAGAACTTCTGTCAATCAACGTACTCTTGAAGCTCTCCTGCTGACTTTCTCAGCTGTTGCTGCATCTTGCTTGGCAGACAATGCTTTGTTGATTCGGGTTGGTTTAACCCGGAGAATGAATTAGTTTTAGGACAGGGTAGTGGTTGACGCGCGTGATGGGGGGTTTTGATTGCCACGCGCCTCGGGGGTTGAGACTTTTTTAGGTAAGAGGTATATGTATGCAGGGACACACAGATGGGGATACGTGGTGGTGCATCAATCATTTTCGTCTGTAGTTGATTGTTGGGTAGTTAAGTACATAGTATAAGTTTATTGCTCGTGTGAGGAACATGAGGACTGTATACACAATGTCACTGAATGTGTCGTCATTGTTGAACGACTTCCGTTCTTGGACAGGTTTCCTAACCGGAAAAGCCGCCACCCACCAGGGCAGAACAGGTGGAAACCAGACCGGCAAAAGGTCGCCAGGCGAGCAAAAAAAGGACGAGAACATCCGGGGAATTGGCCCGTGTTTTCTGGTCGGATGCGGGGTACAGATTTGAAGACCCGACCTCCCTTTCCGACCGGCTATGTCTGCCTGCCTGTTTGCCCAAATGTACCAAGTACACCTCGATGAGTGATCGGGTCCGGAAAAGTGTTTACGGCAGTTGCACTTGTCCTAATCATACTGCGGCGGCTGTTCTGAGGGGACGTGCAGGAAAGACGCGCCTGACCCCCTGCGTGGGCTTGGGGGTGCTGCGCCCCAGGGGGTGGTTTACTCTATAGTCACAGTCGGTTATCCTCGTGGAAAGTCGGGATCAAAGACTTGGGGATGGCCCTGTCATGTGCGTTGTTTTTTTTTTTTTTTTTTTTTTTTTATCTAGTACTCTGCTTTTGGGTGTGCATTTCGACGAGAAAAATCTTTTTAGTTGCAAGTACGTGTTTTGGGGTAGTAGACACAAATTAATGCCTCAATTCGGGTGTGCGTGATCTTAACATGAGCGATTTACATAGTACACATGTAAAGACGGGGGTGGCTTACGCGCAATGAGCGCGGTATGACGAGCAAGTGCTTCAAGAATGGGTGCGTTTCTGATCTTTTGCTTGATATTCCTCTTTTTTTCTCGGGTCGTTCCCAAAATGGAGGGGGGACACATCCCGAAAACTTGAGTCAAAATAACAAGCACGGCAATATCTTCTGCCCACCGCATTTCACGATCCATGATGGTGACGTTGGATTGTCAATCCGGAGAAGTGGACGAGTTTCATTGGCCGGACCGGAAAGGGCTTCGGAAGGCAGCTGACCCTCACTTGGCCGAAAACAGACTAGAGCCATGGAGCAGCACCCGAATTTCTCTCCCGGGAATTTCGTCACTCGGAAAGATTCCTGGGTCTGGGCCTGTAAATTGGGCAATTGGGGCAATTTGGGGGTGGCAGCCTCCCGGGCGGTCAGGCTGTTACATAAGCCCAACGGGCCCCTCTCCACCTTTTACGGAAGTGCTCCGTCGCGCCGAGGACAATTTTACATGAATTTTTTTTTCTGCCAGGCCCTTCTCTTGCTACCCAGTCGGGAATAGTCTACGTTGATCTAGAGAGGCTTAGAGCCCATGCCGAGAAAAGGGAGGGCTTCCTTCCCCCGCAATTTCCATCATGGATCGTATCGTTTACCCATGTCCTGTACTCCTGTAGGTTAATCGCCTCTAGAATCCGCGCCGGATGGTTGGCTATTCTTGAGTTCAAACAACGTCATCACTTCCGCATCAAAACTGTCAATTGATGGTCAAGAGAGAAAACTGACTCTGCGCGTCCGTGGGAAAAGCTGGGAATAATCGCATTCAGCTCGTAGGATTGACTGTCGGTTTCGTAATAGAAAATGCAGGGGGCCTGTTAAATACCTCGTTTGCAGAATGGACGGCTTTGAAGATCTTAAGCCTGTCACACCGATAACTGATACTCGAGTATCCTTTTCTTTGTTTTTACCTCTCGAGCTATCAACTCAGCCCCTCCCTGTTGGCCTAGATTGAGACATTAACGCACTATCGGTTGATAACGCCTGAATTCTCATTTCTTGTTCCCGATCCTGCTGTTATTCCCTCACTTCTAGTTGGTGCATCCGCGCAGAGCTTCCGGAACCACTTCGTGCCCACATCTCAGATCTCGGAACAAGTCGGACTACACCGAGAGGCAATTCTGCCTGTGTTTCGACTGTTTCGACTTTCCACGATAACCAACAACCGCTTCAGCCTTCAGCCCGGTCCTTAGCCCCGACATCTTCCGTGGAACTGTGGAGAAGGCCCATTTCTCCAAAGATCCAAACCTCCTTGCGACCTGAAATCGCTGCCATCATGGCCCCAGCTGGAAACATTCATATACCCCCCGTTTCCCCCGTCGATCCTGGTCCTCTCTACACAGATTTCTTTCAACAGCAAGTTGCAAAGCAACGAAATAATAACTATCATTCTACCTCACTAAGAAACATGGTTGCTGCTTCTGTTAACCGCACTGCGCTGCACCCTGGTGGTGTTCAGTATGTTTTCCCTTCTTTCCTTCCCTTGGTTTGGTCCTTGTCATGGTCTGCTGCTGTGTCGGTTGGCACATGGCAAGGTCCTATATGTTGTCGACCAAGGTCGCTAACTTGGATGACTATCTAGGCCAGGCAAGGGTCACACTGAGCTTGAGGAAGAGCTTCACGAGCACGCCCACATCGACTACGACCGCGTTGCTATTGTACGATCTGTTGCGCCTCACCTCCCATGAAGCATAGCGCTAACCCAAACAGATCGCCAACCCTGCTGTTCCTGCTCTCTACGAAGATGCTCTTGTCTACGAGACTGGTACTGCCATCACCTCCAGCGGTGCCTTGACTGCATACTCCGGTGCCAAGACTGGCCGTTCTCCCTCCGACAAGCGTATCGTCAAGGAGGAATCGTCTGAGAATGAGATCTGGTGGGGACCTGTCAACAAGCCCATGACTCCTGATGTAAGTTCTGGCCCGGCGTATAATCGCGCATTGCATCCCCCCTTTCCCCCTGCGTGTCGGCTGGCTGCGGGACCAAGCCAAGCTTTAGGGCAGAGATCATGGCCGCAGTGCCACGGTAGCCCCGGAAGATCAGCAAAATGCCTCAAATCATGTCATGGTCTGAGAGGCATTCTCGATCTTCCGACTGCTGTGCAACAATGGTTTTCATTTCTGCCTGCGCTTGCGTTTGCGGCCTGGAGTAGATTGTCACACTGGTGACGTCATCCGTGTGTCTTCAAGTTAAGCTAATTCGCGTCCCCAGGTCTGGCGTATCAACCGTGAGCGTGCTGTCGACTACCTTAACACCCGTAACCGCATCTATGTTATCGATGGTTTCGCCGGCTGGGACGAGAGATACCGCATCAGCGTCCGTGTTGTCTGCGCTCGCGCCTACCATGCTCTCTTCATGCGCAACATGCTCATCCGCCCCTCGCAAGAGGAGCTGAAGCACTTCCACCCCGACTATGTCATCTACAACGCTGGCTCTTTCCCCGCCAACCGCTTCACTGAGGGTATGACCTCTGCTACTTCCGTTGCCATCAACTTCGCCGAGAAGGAGATGGTCATTCTCGGTACCGAGTACGCCGGTGAGATGAAGAAGGGTGTCTTCACTGTTCTCTTCTACGAAATGCCCGTCAAGCACAACGTCCTTACTCTCCACTCCTCTGCCAACGAGGGTGAGAACGGTGATGTTACTGTCTTCTTCGGTCTGTCCGGAACTGGAAAGACCACTCTGTCTGCCGATCCCAAGCGTGCTTTGATCGGTGACGACGAGCACTGTTGGACTGACCGTGGTGTCTTCAACATTGAGGGTGGTTGCTACGCCAAGTGCATTGGCCTCTCCGCTGAGAAGGAGCCCGATATTTTCAACGCCATCCGCTTCGGATCCGTCCTCGAGAACGTTGTCTTCGACCCCATCTCCCGTGTTGTCGACTACGATGACTGCACCCTCACTGAGAACACTCGCTGCGCCTACCCCATCGAGTACATCGAGAACGCCAAGATCCCCTGCTTGTCCGAGAAGCACCCCTCGAACATCATCCTCCTCACTTGCGACGCTCGTGGTGTTCTTCCTCCGATCTCGAAGCTCACCACTGAGCAGACCATGTTCCACTTCATCTCCGGTTACACTTCCAAGATGGCCGGCACTGAGGATGGTGTGACCGAGCCCCAGGCCACTTTCTCTTCCTGCTTCGCTCAGCCCTTCCTTGCTCTTCACCCCATGCGCTACGCTACCATGCTCGCGGAGAAGATCTCGCAGCACAAGGCCAACGCCTGGCTTCTCAACACCGGTTGGGTTGGCGCTGGCGCCACCACTGGTGGCAAGCGTTGCCCTCTCAAGTACACCCGCGCCATCTTGGACGCCATCCACAACGGCTCCCTCAACGAGGTCGAGTACGAGACCTACGAGGTGTTCAACCTGCACGTGCCCAAGTCCTGCCCTGGTGTTCCCTCGGAGCTTCTCAACCCCAGAAACAGCTGGACCGCGACGACGAACTTCAAGGACGAGGTCAACAAGCTGGCCGTGCTCTTCAACGAGAACTTCGCCAAGTATGCCGACCAAGCTACCAAGGAGGTCATCGCGGCCGGTCCGGTTCCTCAGTAGATTGTTGCTTTTCTTGTTCGCTGATTCCCTTTGGTTTATCATATCGCATGGCGTGCTGTGTTTCAAATATTGGGTCATATGATTTTTTTCTTCTTCAGATACCTGAATGTGGCTTTGTGCCGATCAGCGGAGGAAAAATCGCGCTGAAAATGGCTGTTCTGATTTTGGTTCTGTCCAATACTGGCTGTTGGCCTATAGAAAATATATTCCGTTCTAACCAATTCTTTCTTCTTTCTGATGTAAAAATAAACTTTGTTCCATGGGGCAATTTCCGACCCTCTAGCATGGCAATGATGGACTGGGACTCTAGTAATGGATCCCTGACACCAACATTGAAGTTGCGAGGTGGTTGATTGATCGTGGGATCTTCGCGGCGGGACTCGTCTCCCTCCACATTTTACCTTCCGGCGATACCTCTCCCCCCTTTCAGCATCTATCCCCCTCCCCCCCAAGACAGCATCAAATCAAGATTCGCTTTGCGGGTCCTTTACCTGAGGTGGTAGTCCTTGTGGAGAGCAATGGGTGGGCATGCGGGCGCTAGCTGAAGCGCCTCCGACATTCACGACTGTTTATGGAAGATGCGTCGACAGCACTCATCCTCAAATCATCTCTTGAGCACCTGGTATGTCATCCTCAATCGAATACACCAAGCCAATCCTTGCAGTAAAGGCGCATACTGAGAGTTGCACAGATTATCTTGCTTCCAAGCCCCGTGCCCCACGCAAGGAGGCCGCTAAATAGTTCGCGTCAACGCGGGATGCGGCCAAACCAAATTTCTCCGAGCCATCCCTCGATCGAAGACAGGGGTGGATCCGTGAACCACTGGGGTAATGTACGTGTGGGACTTCGATGCAGGAACAAATTCAGCATGCACCATGTACGTTGCATCTCCGAGTTTAGTTCTTGCGGCTAGACAAGATCCGACTTTGCTGGGGATAACCATAATGCGACCTCACTCTTCGACATACCGGAATACGACCTGTGAGCTAGTGCTCCAACATGCCGTGCCTGTCGATCGCCTCCTAGCTCTCTCCAGCTGTCAAGGGGTGAATGCTGCCTTCTGAGCTGATACGTGCCAGACATGTAGTGCCCTGTCTGGTGTGTGGCCCTTACTGAGCCTCAAGGCTTTTCTCAAGGTGCCAAAGCAAGGATACTTGACTAGTCCGCTTACAACTCTCTCAACGTGAAAATTGGGTGGCCCATGGCCACTACCAGCCTTCGAGCGTCCTCCAAGGGTTGCCTCCTGTTTATGCCATTCCCGCCTTCATGGGAACCCCTCCGATTTTCCGAATACGTCTTTGCATTCTCTATTGTGTGAGAGAAAAGCACTCTCGCGCGTAAGCCTTGCGCCACCAAAATCTCCTTGATCTGTCCTGGAGACTTCGCGTCGCGTCCGCGCTAAACTGAGATACAACACTTCTCTTCAATCAAGACCGCCATGGGAAAGAAGTGTGCTGCATAGAGCTTGACATTCAGTGCATGCATAAACGTCATGGACGCGAATATGATTGCATCTCATTCTGTGTTTTCGCTGCCTCTGGGGCTGATGGGAGTGGGGGCCGTTGTTCTCGCGGTAGGTCAATATTTTGTCTTAAGCTCGCCTGTTGCGACATGGAGATACAGACTACGTGTTTCTTGGCGAACTCGCGATCACGCTGACACTGAACTTGCAGCTCCTGGTGTACGGCGTATACCAGGTCTATTTCCATCCTCTGGCCAAATATCCTGGCCCATGGCTAGGCAAATTCACCGAGGCGGGGGCGGCGTATCATGCCGTCAAAGGAGATTTGCATCTACATATCTGGTGGTGCCACCAGAAGTATGGTGAGTTTCAATGGATCTAGTGACCTTTCAATGGAAAGGAGTCTTGAAGTGCTGACTGAGCATGTATAGGGCCGGTGATCAGATATACGCCGAACTTGGTGATTTTTAATACAGCAAGTGGAATGAAAGGTGTGTTGCTGCTATGCAGGAAGATCTACTTTGGTTTGTGGGCTAATCTGAGGGAAAGATATCTACGTCCGAGGCAAGGACCTTCGGAAAGATGTCCACTACGGTGTCATTCAACTCGGCACCAAGAACCTCCTCACGGTCACGAGCCCCACGGACCACGCTAGACGAAACAAGATCATAAGCCCTGGGTTCTCAAGCACGGCAATGCGCGAATTCGAGCCAAAGTTGTTGGCACATGTCCACAAATTCTGCAAATCGCTATACCGCCCTCGACCCCAAGGAAATTCGGATAGTTCCTGGGGAGAGCCAATGGTCATGTCAGACTGGTGCAGCTATTTTGCATTCGATGTGATCACGGAGTTGGTGTTTGGAAAAGCGGTTAACCTACTTGGAAGCCAGCAGCACCGATGCACTGTGTACGATATCTCTGGTATGATGAAGCGGCTGTCGCTGTTGATGTATGCGCCGTACGTGTTTCTTGGTCGACTGGATCGGAAGTTATTCCCCGATGAAATGCACGGAATGAAGCGATATCACCGGCTGGTAAACACGATGATGGCAGATGCGGCAAGCATGTCAGGCCATGTGTTTAGTCGATTGACGACTGCGCGGGATAATAAGGTGAGCGCGGGGACGGGACCCGCATTCGGCGATGCGGACGTCTACTCGGAGGCCGCGATGTTGGCTGTTGCTGGTGGGTCACACATAATCCATCCCTTTTCTCCTCCTCGTCTAGCTCATGACTTGCTGATGGCATGAACAACAGGGTCCGACTCCACATCTGTTTCGCTCTGCGCCAACCTGTTCTATCTGGCGACCTATCCCCATGCCTACGCCCGCCTCGCTCAGGAAATCCGCTCGACCTTTCCAACACTGGAATCAATCCGCACAGGGCCCCTTCTTCTCCAACAGTGCCCCTATCTGCACGCTTGCATCAAGGAGACACTCCGGATCTCCCCCGCCGTCGCCGGATGTCCCTATCGCCGGGTTGAGAAGGGAGACACCATTGTTGTCGACGGCCACGTTATTCCTGAAGGCTGCAGTGTAGGTACCGGGATCTACAGTATTCATCATAATGCAGAATACTTCTCGCGGCCAGATACGTTCCTCCCGGAGAGGTGGCTGACAAGCAACGATGATGATTCGCTCGAGCAAGCGAGCATCACGACGGCCGCATATACACCCTTCTCACAAGGGACGCGCGCTTGCGTCGGGCGGCACTTGGCACAAATGGAGCTGCAATTAGCACTAGCGTGCTTGATCTGGCAATATGACTTCCGCCGGGCGGAGGGCACTGTTGGGGAGATGGGAGCAGGCAATCGCGACAGTGGGGAGCTCGGGCGGTCGAACCCGCATGAATTTCAAATCTATGATCACATCATCAGCCAGAAGAGGGGGCCGGTCCTTCAGTTCAGGCCGAGGGAATCTTCCCAGTAGGATGCATTGGCAGGCTGGGGCGGAATGGCAGTCGGGCTCGGGAGACAAGGCGGGCTGTCCGGTTCTACATGAAGGTAAAACAAAACGAGAACAACGGGATATGCCTTATTTTATTTGATAACTGTTGGAGTCTTGGAGTTTTTGATACGGAGTCCGAACCCAGATATGTGAATATGTGTATTGATGTATAGTGTGGGAGTTTGTGGTTTCAACTTCTCAATCAGGCAGTCATAACAACAATGCTAGAATTGTTGGGAAGACGAACTGGGCAGCGGCCTACTTCATACTTACCAAATGAATCATTGAGAACATGGTGCGAAGTGGATCCCTTCTGCGTACTAGCGATCCTTAAAGAGCCAGGCTCTGGGAAGATAGATTCCTCCGACATGACAGTCAGTATCCACCGATAATCGGCTGTTTATTCACCCTGATCGATCCTCGCCCTGGCCCCTAGTGGAGCGAGCCAGCAGCCTGGGAAGGGTATGGTCAGTGCGCGGCATGATCAATCGCTGTCAGGGGATTGGTCTGGGTTCAAACGACTGGACCGTCCGGACGACTGTCCTCCTAGCCTTAAGGATGGCTTGGTAGGATTGACACAAGATTCATGCCGTAGCCCACTCCTCCCGCCCGAAAGACATTACCGAGATCCGCCCAGTGGCTCACCATCTCCCGTTCCGGGATCCCGAGTGTGATTTCCCTCCTGCGTACTGTACAGTACCTCCGGTGCTAGGTGACGATAGGGGTCTGTCCGGCAGCTGCTCGGTGTGAGTATCGTACCAGTTACGGGTATCATTGAGGTTGGGTTGGGAAAACGTTGAGATGGAACAAAGTAGGAGATGGTGAAGATGGTCTGTTCTGTCTAGGTTATAATTCTACTTCTATGATGTTTTCCTCTGATGTTGTACTATGTTCGAACAGTAACTGACTGATATCTACATCAATCTCCTTTGCTATCGTAGTGCCCTGACCCTAGCCGCCCGCATGTCCTGGTTCTGGTTCGATGGCTGTGATGTTCACGTTCACACCGGACTAAGACCAGGAGGAGACCTTCTCCGGATTTTCTACTGCTTGGTTCTTCGGGGAAGGAAACCGTTGGGATTTTGGAAAGAAGAAGCGTTTCAGGTAATCATCAGTCCGATTATCGGCAGTATCAGATAAATCGGGAGGTGTGATTTTCTGCCTGATGCACTTGATTGTAGGTTTGAGAGATGATGAGGAGGAGGAGGAGAATGCGGGAAAGAAGGGCGGGAAGCGAGGAGGGGAGCAGCGGAAGATGCGGAAGAATATTGACCAGCTCTGGTGCTTGGGATGTCATGCTTGAGCCAAGAGATTCATATGTATGGAGTCTAACCTCGGGCCTGGCCGGGGTTTCCGGGGGTTTCTCGTTAGGCGCTGGATGCGGTTTAGTGGCCGATTATGTAGTTACTGGGAGCTGAGTTCCCCACTCGGTGAAGTGCCCACCTGCAAGTATGAGAGATGATCTTGCAGTAGGTACAGTAGGGCGGGACAGGGCAGGTTGGGTGGATGATGGGGGAAACGGTCTCTATGGTTCTTATGTTCTATGTATATGTGCCATATTGCTGGATGGGTGATACAGTATGAAACGATTACACCAAAATTAAGGATGAAGACTGTAACATGAGCAAAAAGAAAAAAAATAGATGACGTTGCCAGGCTCCCCCGCATTTTCCAGCTGGCGGGCATCATGCAGTAGCTGCTTGGTGCAAAGTACAGGTACTTGTACTTGTTCTTACTGTACATACTTGGTGGATACTGATCCATTTGCCAATCAGGTATTGAAAGATAATATGATTATTATGGAGATGGCTATTCGAAGAGAAATACGACTAAACTACCACCCCGTAAATCTCCACCAGAACTGTACTGTAGGTTCCGATGCCCGAGTAGGACCCATCCATCCATCACTGTGACTGTACCAGACTCTCTGTACCACATCCCAACCAGCCATCCATCGATGGTGGTTACTGTGCCGGCCTGGCAGTGCTTGCCTTGATCCTCTCCTCTCCTTCTACTCACTTTGCTTAAGACTCACCCTCCCTGCTCCCTGTCCGTCTTTCCCCGCGACATTTTCCTTCTCCTCATCCTCCTCATCCATCATCTGACCAGGACCTTTTCCATCCAAGTTATAAATAAATTATCCGCCGCCGCCTCCTCCTCCTCAAGCTCCCTCTTTACCCCCCACCCCCCTCCTTTTGCTTGCATCGCCTTCTTTCATCCACGGTAAGTAGCTTCGGCTTTCCCCTCTTGGCTGATCCCCGGATGGTCTTGTGAAAGTGCCTGGCCAGGCCCCAACTGTTTTTGCCTGGGGCATTGCCTTCATACATTGATTGATTCCAAGCTTCTTTGTTTCCCCACCCCGCTTTTCCTCGTGTTGTCTTAGCTTTATATTCATTCCCTGCCGGTCGTCTCGACATTTCATTCAATCGGAGCAGCATCTTCTTCAGCAGCATTGACCATTGATCCTAGACACTGACAATAACCAATAGGTCTGGAGTGAACCCCGACTCCTCCCTCACCATGGCTTCGACTACAACCACCACCACAACCCCAGCTGTTGCCGCCGCCGCCGCCGCCGCCAAAGAACCTCAGCCCGCCATGGACTTCCTTCATCACCCCTACACTCGTGCGGCGCTTCCCTTCGTCAATGGTGGTCTTGCTGGCATGACCGCCACCGTCGTCATCCAGCCCATTGACATGATCAAAGTCCGTCTGCAATTAGCCGGCGAGGGTGTTCGCACCGGACCTCGTCCCTCGGCTTTTGGCGTCGCTCGCGACATCATCGCGTCGGGCAAGGTACTCGATCTTTACACTGGTCTATCTGCCGGACTCCTTCGTCAAGCCGTGTACACTACCGCCCGCCTGGGTTTCTTCGACACCTTCAGCAAAGCCCTCAACAAGCGCGCAGAGGCTGCTAACCGGAAGGTCACCTTTGCCGAACGCGCGGGGGCCGGGTTGACTGCTGGTGGTATTGCAGCCATGATTGGCAACCCAGCCGATTTGGCCCTGGTCCGTATGCAATCGGACGGCCTCAAGCCTCCCGCAGCGCGAGCCAACTACCGCTCCGCCCTAGACGCGCTTGTCCGCATCTCCAAGTCGGAAGGTGTTCCAGCCCTGTGGGCCGGTGCCTTGCCGACAGTCGTGCGCGCGATGGCCCTCAACGTCGGTCAATTGACCTTCTTTGCGGAGTCCAAGGCTCAATTGAAGGCCCACACCAATTTGTCGGCCCAGAGCCAGACCTTTGCCGCCTCTGCGATCGCCGGTTTCTTCGCCAGCTTCCTCTCGTTGCCATTTGACTTTATCAAGACTCGTCTGCAGAAGCAGCAGAAGGATCCCTTGACCGGCAAGCTGCCGTACAAGGGCCTGCTGGACTGCGCGCGCAAGGTGGCGCAAGAGGAGGGCTGGTTGCGATTCTACCGCGGCTTCGGCACCTACTATGTGCGGATCGCTCCTCATGCGTTAGTTTCCCCACCCCCAAGACTTTCTTATCGCGTAGTGCTGTCACTAACCCCGCGGATCCACCAGCATGGTTACACTGATTGTCGCCGACTATCTCAACCTCATCACCAAGTAGTGTGTTCGAGGTGATTTCCGAAGTGGTTTCTTATTGAGTATTTCCTTTTTCTTTTTTTTTTTTT